CGGCGGCGGCGGCGGGCGGGCAGGGTGGGGCCTGGCGACGGGGTCGAGCCACGTGTCGTGGTTGCCGGCGACGACGACCTTGTGCTGGTGCGGCAGCGAGCCGAGCCAGTCGAGCTGCCGCTGGATGGCCTCGACGGTGCCCGAGCTCGTCAGGTCGCCGGCGTGGATGAGCAGGTCGCCGTCGGGCACGCTGCCGAGCGTGTGCTCGTGCGTGTCGGATATGCACACCACTCGGATCCGGGGCCGGCCGGCGGGGAGGGCGAAGGGCGTCCCGCGCAGCCGCACCAGGAAGGAGTGGGCCGCGGCGACGAGGTGGTGCAGCGGCCCGTCCAGGAGCTTGTCCAACGCCGTGGGCGGGTCCCAGGGGTGAGGCCGGCGGATGCCCAGGCGGACCAGGATGCTCATCTTTTTTTTTTTTTTTTTTTTTTTTTTGTGGGGGAGACGGAAAAGGGGACGAGAATGGGAGAGAAAGTGAAGAGGCCAAGGTCAGGCAGGGCGGGGAGGGCGGGGAAACAGCAGGACGTGTTTCACGCAGCGCTCCCCGATATAGAGCTGGAAAGGGAAACCCTAGTCACGCATCGCGACAATCAACTTCATGTTCTGAAGTCGCTGTCGTGGGTTCTGGTGTTGTTGAAAATCACAGCTCAGAAACCCATTCAGAAGCCACAACGCATCGCTGGTCGGCTACAAACGAATTAAGCTCCCGGAGCCGCCCCACAGGGGCGCATCCAAGATGGAAGCCACATTGTGGGTGACGAAGCGCGGCTTCCCGATTGGGCGCAGCGTCTGCTGATGGGGGGCTCCTGCCGCACAGTGCATCCGCCATGCTGGTTTTGGATTGGGTCATCAAGTGGTGTGCAACCAGGCTTGTCCTCCAGCCAGGAAACCGGAAACATGTGGTGACGTTGTTCGTCGTTGGCGCCATCCATCCCAAAAATCCAGTCAGATCCGTCCCTCAACCGACAACGCACCGCCAGCCTTTGGGCATGCATGGCCTCGATATAAGGCGTCATCTGATTGATACAGCTACCTAGTTCATCCTGACCGTCCAAATATATATTGAGCTTCAAGCCAAGCACTTTCTGTTTCTCCTCCTGCCCAATCCTGGTTGTATTCCTTACCTGCTCTTGCCCCGCCTGCCACTCGGCAAACTCCCTGTCGAACTAGCAGCCTCTCCCTGTTTGCTGCTTTCCTCTGGATCTAGGAGCCATCATCACTTGGCACCACCTCTGGCCTTCGGCCACTCGCCCAGAATGGCGTCCCTGTTGTCTGAAAAAGGAGATCGATCGGGGTTCAAGTCCAAGAACTTTGAGTGAGTAGCCTGTTTGATAAATCATCGACCTATAATTAAGAATCAAGCTGACCGTGAGACTCAAGCGTTGACTATGTCGTTGACTACCAGATCCCCTCTAACAAATGTAAGCCTAGTGTTTGGATATGGATTGCTTGGAACATTCAGGGGCATCAAGCCCCGAAACCCCTTGGTTTGTCTGACACCCTTCTCTAGCCGAGCGAATCGAGGCCGAAGCGGCGTTTGTGCAGCTCGTGCAGGCTCTCGTCAATGTCGGTTTTGCCACCGAGGTCCGCTATGGCGGCAAACACTCTCTCCTGGTGTTTGTTAAGATCGTATCGGACCAGTTGCTCCATGCGCAGGTGTACCGCTACCGCCTACAGGACTGGCTGTACGGGGTCCGCCCATCGGCCCCCAACAAGCAGGATCTGAGCAACCAGTTTGAGGACGAGCCCGTTACCGAGGCCGAGCGCCTCCGGCTGTGCTACCTGCTCATCACAAAGTCCAAGAACGACAGCGGCGCCGGCATCACGCCCAAGATGGGCCAATGGAAGCACGTCGCCTCCATATTCCCGCTGCACGACCACGCCTTCAACCGCCAGTGGATCAAGCGCTGGAGCACAAAGTACGTCCTGGACGACTCCGATCTAAACGAGATCCGCAACAAGTTTGGCGAAAGCGTTGCATTCTACTTTGCCTTCCTGCAGTCCTACTTCAAGTTCCTCGTCTTCCCCGCCGCCTTTGGATTCAGCGCCTGGCTCATCCTCGGCAACTTCTCGTGGTTCTACGCCCTCGTCAACTGCCTCTGGTCCGTCGTCTTCTTCGAGTACTGGCGCAAGAAGGAGGTCGACCTGGCCGTCCAGTGGGGCGTCCGTGGCGTCTCCAAGATCCAGCGACCCCGGGCCCAGTTCCAGCATGAGCGAGAGGCGCAGGACCCCGTCACGGGAGAGATCATCAAGGTCTTTCCGCCCCTCAAGCGGCTCGCGCGCCAGCTGCTGCAGCTTCCCTTCGCTATGGCCTGCATGGCCATCCTAGGGAGCATGATATTCTCGTGCTTTGCTATCGAGATCTTCATCAACGAGGTCTACAACGGTCCCTTCAAACAATACCTGGTATGGACTAGACTTTGTCTTGCTTGACTGACACATGCAAAGCTCGCATCTCAAAGAGCGATTATGCTGACTTTTGACTGGGCATTTTCTAGACGTTCCTCCCGACTGTCATTTTGACCGTAAGATTCTCTTATCCGCAGGATCGGGGTGTTTTAGACGCAATAACTGACCAAACTAAGCTCTTCATGCCCGCACTCACCACACTCCTGACAAATCTGGCGGAGCGCCTAACGAACCTAGAGAATTACGAGACCCAAGATGGTACGTTTTGGCAAAGCAATTCTGACCTTGGTGCTACCCAGCTACTAACAAGTGCCTTTTCCCTCGTTACAAGGACATCAAGCATCGTTCGTTCAGAAGATTTTCGTCATCAACTTTATCACCTCTTACTTCCCCCTGTTCCTCACAGCCTTTGTGTACGTGCCGTTCGGAACAGTGCTAGCTCCTCACCTCGACATATTCCAAGCGACGGCGAGCAACCTCACCAAGAACGACATCAAGACCAAAGACTTTGAGATCAACCCCAACCGTTTCACCCAGCAGATGTTCTACTTCACCGTCACGGCACAGATTGTCAACCTTCTCCTCGAGGTTATTGTCCCGTTTGCCAAGCGCAAGGTCTTCAAAGCGGTTGAGAAGGTACAGGACGGCATAGCCCACAAGAATGGGGGCGCGGTGCACCACAAGGACGCGCCCGGGGAGGCCACTTTTCTGCAGAGGGTCCGAAGCGAGGCGAGGCTTGATGCCTATGACGTGACAACGGACTACCGGGAGATGGTGATCCAGTTTGGCTACTTGTCACTGTTTTCGGTCGGGTTCCCTCTGACGGCCTGCTCTTTTCTTGTCAACAACTGGGTCGAGGCGAGATCGGACGCCATGAAGATCGCTATCGGCAGCCAGAGGCCTATTCCGTGGCGCGACGACTCAATTGGCCCCTGGCTCACCTCGCTGGGGTTCCTGTCGTGGCTTGGGAGCCTCACCAGCGCCGCGGTTGTCTTCCTCTTTAGCGACGGGGATAGACTGAACGGTGGACTGGATGGCGGCCCCTGGGACATCAAAGCCTGGGCGCTCCTGCTGAGCATCCTGGTGGCCGAGCATGTGTACCTTGTGGTGCAGCAGGTAGTGCGATACACATTGCAGAAGATGGACAGCCCCGGCCTACAGATGGAGCGAGCGGCACGTTTCGCTACGAGGAAGCGCCTGCTGGCCGAGACTCTCGGACACGACGAGTCGGACAAGGCGGCCACGGCAGCTCTGAGCGGCAGCGAGAAGATCACGAGGGAGACCCTCGAGGAGGAGGCTCGCCTCGCCGCCACCAAGGGTCACGGTTCTCCCGAGGAAGGGTGGGTTACCCCCTGCCGCGTTCTCTTTGCAAGAAAACCATGGTCCCTTTCTAGAGACTGACAGCAATCTCACCATTCTTACAGATTTTGGCTCCGCCAGCGAGGAGCGTCTGAGACCATAGAGGTCGGACGACAGCTGATGTCAGAGGCAAGTTTATCCGAAGCACTGGGTCTTTGGAGGCTTTCTCGTGCTGACATGGTGTGTGGAACAGATCGATTCTGCGAACAATGCTAGCAAGCATTGACGAGAAACAAATCAGGGAGGCTAGAGTCGACACTGGAGTATGAAGACATCGTATCTTGCTCAGCGCGTCCAATTACCTATGTCTCCCTGTGTCATTTTGGTGGTGGGAGTTGGGGGTGGAGGAGGCAATGGGCGCTAGATTGGGCATAGACCTATTTGTGACTTTGCTAGAATCGATACCTATGTACCCTGCCTCGTACGCCGTAACCGGCCCCCTCCCAGCGGCAGTGATTATCTAGCATATCTTCGTCTGTTAATACAAGTAGTTTAAAAAGGCCAAAGTGTGCCCTTCTTCGCTCAGCCTTGATATGGGGCGAGGCCTGGACGCAGGGGTTGTTCGTGGTGTGCAGGGGCCATCCCTCCACATTCCTGCTTTTATGCTTCCCGAGATGAAGGCACAGGCCCAGCGGTTTCGGGACTTGTGGCAACGGCCAGGTTGCGCGGGAACCACAATAGGGGGGCGAAACAGGGAGAAGAAATCAAATCAAACCACCAAGAAAAACCCACCCGTTAGGGGGTTCACCTCCAAGGCTCAAAAAGTGCTTGGATGCGGCTCACTCTGCTCACAACGAACACATGTCTGCAAAACATATCATCCTACCTGCCGGAGAAAAAAAAAAATCGGTTGCAGGCATAGCGCGAAAGGGATCCGCGCCAGCACAAGTGACTGATGGCTACCAAACGAGCGAGGGTCGACTGTGCCGGGAGGGCATGTCAGCACCCCGACTGCGATAGCTGCCATCCAACAGGCCTTGGGAACGGTGCCCGTCCGGCGCCTGGAAGGAGTGTTTACGGCAGCACACATGCGCAACAGCAGCATCACCAACAGCAGCAACAACAACAACAGCAGCAACAACAACAACAGCAGCAACAACAACAACAGCAGCAGTCTGCCATGAACGGCAACGGGGCGCAACGCTACTACGCACAGCAGCACGTCGCATCATATCACCAAGCACAACAACCACGACCAGGAGCGGTGGGGGCACGGCCAATGGCGCCGCGGTCGACCAGCTATGGGAACGGCGGCGGCGGCCCGCCTCCTCCGACCGTCACCATCACCGTGCCTTCCTCCACCGGCCCCGGCCCCGGCCCCGGTGTCACGATGGCGGCCATGCCGACGGCGGCGGAGCTCAACGAGTCCCAGGTCAGGAGCATAGTGGGCGGGCTGGCCGAGGCCGACGTGCGGGATCTGCTCGGCATCATCATCGCCACCAACCCGTCCGTGGGACCACGCATGCTTCTTCTGAACCGGTACAACGCCCGGCGGCGGGAGGCGCGGGAGCCAGTCACTCCTACCACCACCACACCCGCAGCAACAGCAGCTGCCGCGGCGACGGCCGTTACTGCTACTGCCACCGGCAGCAACAGCAGCGCGGGCCTCGCCGTGGTCGCGGCGCCGGCGCCGGCACCGGCACCGGCACCTGTCCGGCGGCCGATGCCTGTCGACTTTGACCACTACAGCAAGGCCGTCTGGCACACGCTCAACAGCAGCAGCTACAGCAGGGGCCGGGCCAGAGGCCAGTGGGAGGCTCGGGGCGACGCCTTTGACGACATCGAGCGTGTGGTGCGGGCTATCTGGGCGACCGTGTCGGCCAAGGGCGGGGCGGGCTCGCTGCTCGAGTCCAAGCTGAGCGCGCTGGCGACGCTGCGCAAGATGGGCCGCAGCGTGGCGCTTGCGGGCGACTGCCTAGGCTCCGAGGTGCGCAAGCAGTACCAGCACGACGGCGAGCTCGCGGCCGCCATGGTGGCCATCGCGCGCTCCATGACGCCCGACGAGCGCGTCCGCGTCGGGCGCTCGGCCGACCAGAAGGGCGTCTCGCTGCTGGCAAAGTTCGAGGAGCTGCGGCGCGAGGCCGACGGTCACTGCATCTTCGAGGAGCTGCCCGAGGTCATACGGCTGCTCAAGGGGGAGGGGGGGCCCGCGGTGGCGCTGGCAGAGAGGGAGCCCGAGCGGGATGGGCATGAGGAGGAGTATGACGAGGACGAGGAGGACGAGGATGGGGAAAACGATGAGTTCGACTCCGACCCTGGTGCCTACTGCGAGGACGACTACGACAGTGACGACAGCGACCCATCGATGACTGGCAGGGCGATGGGGAACGCCTACTAGGGGGCGAGCATTCTCGTTTGCGGAGTGTGGGGGAGGAGGATAGCAGTTGCACACAACATGAAGTGCTAGCCTTTTTGGGCAGTCCGAGGAGGGGGCTTCGGTCCACAGCCGGTGACCGCAAAGGGAAGGCTCCAGTGCTTCCAATTGGAGGGGCTCGGTATTGAGAGCTCAGCTTATGTAGCTGGGCGACGGCGTGGCAGTGTCTTTAGTGGGCCCAGTCTTCCGCCTCACTGGGCAAGAGCCACTGAGTGCTTCTTATCTCGACCACTCGGGTCAAATCGCACAGCTTAGGTCCAACCTTTTACTCCACAATGGAATGCAGCCGACCTCCCCCAATGAGGCCCTAAACAACCCAGCAATCGTTCATCTACTTCGGCCCCGGGCCGGCACAGCCTCGCCCTACCCTCTGGATCAAAGTACCTTACTCCCTCCCTCCCCAAGCTCTGTACCTCACGAGACCCGTCATCGGACGAAGCCACCCGCGCCCGGAAAACACAAGACATGCTAGCCAAGCGTGCTTAGTCGAGTTCGGACACCCCCTCACCTCAGCTGGCTGCCGGCCCAACCAGGGTCAGCCATGGAATAAAGGCCACGCACTTCGGACGACGACGGCCATCGGAGCTGTGAGGCGCGACCGGGCGGGCTGGCCATTCCATTCCCTCGACCGAAGTTGGCTACCGCGCAAAAAGGGCCTCGGCGTAGATGGGCTTTTTCTATTTTATTTATTTTATTCTTCGTTTTCCTGCCCACCCCGCCGCTCGGGTCAGACGTTTAATCATTGGCTGCTTTGCCGTCTTACGTGCCTGTGCAGCTGCTTTTCTTCTCGTCACCCCCATCCGTGCTCCTGAACTACCGTCCCGGCTTGCTCTCACCTTTCCCTCCCCGCTTCTTGATCTCCACTATTGCACCCGACCTCCTTGATATAGTCGCGTGGCTTGGGCATTATTGGTCTTGGCCTTATTTACTCGTCCCTGAGACTTGAGGTCGAGGAAAAGCAACAACAGCAAGGGGCTCAAACGGACGGAAAGGCCGAGCCTTGCTCGCCCGGCTTATTGTCATGGACGAAGTCGCCGAGGCCCTCGTCCTCTCACCGTTCAGGGAGATTGTGCTCAAGGCCAAGGCGGCGGCCGAAAACGCCCAGACGGCGGCCGAAAACAGCAACGAGACAAACATCCAGGATGGCGCCAAAGAGCTCGCGAGAGCCGCCCACAGGCTCGAGCGGGAAGGCGAGCGCGCTCTGCTTAAGATCGAGCCGCTCTGCAAGAAGCAGCTTGATACCTGCGGGCAGAACTTTGTGGACGCCTTGAAGGATGACGGTATGTGCGATGCCCCGAGCACAGAGCAGCAAAGTTCAGACTGACTCTGTTCCGTCTCCCCAGACGACATTGCCGCATATCGCACGCAGTTGAACGATCTGTTGTGGGAATTTGACGATTATGTCGAGCTCCAGGACTTCGACGAGGCCAAATTCGCGGAGCTGCAGGCGCTTTCGCGAGGCTATGCGCCCAAAATTGTCGACATCTTGATCCGCATGAAGCTCGAGCCGGCCGAGCCGGCAGCACCGCCCCCTCTGCTCGAAAGTGACACGAGGCCAGCTTCGTCCCGTGGCAGCCTCCTCGCCGACCACCCCGCCCGGTCAAGCATGACCTCTCAGTCCGGGCCAGACCTCGGGCTCGAGGGCGCTGCACACCAGCTCCCGAACAGCAGTCACCCGAGGAGGGACTCGGTGCACTCAAACGTATCGGCCGATATCGATGAGCCGCCGCCCTTCCCGGAGAAGAGCCCCTGGCGCATGAGAATCAAGCTGGATGAGGCGCTGAGCAATCTCGACCCCACCGAGGAAGTCGTCCGAAGGCCCAACGTGTTGACGCTGCCGCTTCTGAGTGATTCTTCTCCAGAGACTGCGCACCACGAAATTATGTACAGTCCACGGTCATCGAGCACTTACGAGCAGAGCTCCCAACGCCGTAACATGCCGTCCCCTGTGAGCCCACTCCAAATATCCCGGCGTGGGCCGGGGGCCAGGCAAAGCAGTGGCACTTGGACAGGAGCGCCCCAGGGAGCGCATCTACAACAATGCGGCAACACCCAACATCCCCTCGTGATGGTCGGGCCAGGCAGTAGTGCAGCCGCTGCACAATCGAGGGACAGCTCCTACTCGGATTACCCCTATAGCTCCTTCTCCGAATCTAGGACAGATTCGGGCTCCGAGATGGCCAGTCCCGTTGCTACGTCATATAGGACGTCAGGCATGTCTGCCCCCGACACGAGCGCGTTCGCGAGAATACCAGAGGAGTGGCAGGGGCATACCGAGAGGCCTCCTCCCACCGCGAGCGCCCGCAACTCGGGTCCACGCCCGGGGCTGGAGCGCGTCGGAAGCGCCCGCGTCCACGCCCTCGACTCGGGCCTGATACCCGTGGAGGCCGAACGGAGTGTCAAAGCCCCGGAGCCGATCCCGCGTAGGCCGGCGGACTGCTCCATAGGACCCAACAGCTCCCTATACCAACTGAAGGGTTTTTGTGAAGGCGCCAAGGAGGTGCTCAAGGGCGGCGTTGGTGTGAAGCAGGTCCGCAAGCTGGTAAGGATGCAACCTCGTTGCTTTTGGCGTGCTGGAAACCTTGTTCCGATAATCTTCTAACCGGACTGCCTTGTTAGAACTTTGGCTCTGGCACTGTAATGGCGGCCAAGTGCAGGGCCTGTCTGTTTGAGCTAGACTGGAATGACGTCGAGGCCGATATAAACGGCGAAGGTAACAATACATGGCTCCATCTCGCATACATGATACGGCGGCTGACGTCTGGAGCAGAGAGCGCGAACTACGTGTCAAAGTCGACCAAGATCGGCTTCCGGCTGCGCTTTTTGTCAAAAAGCCACCTGTCGGCGCATACCATCGAGGACCAAGTCTACGGCTGCTTGTTTTGCGTGCAGCAAGGGCATACAACCGAGGAGAGCGACGCGACCGTCTTCTTCTCACAAAAGCAACTCTTTATGCATATCGCCCGGCACCCGCGCCCTTTGCCAATAGTGGCAGGACTTAACGTGATCGAGGGCGACGCTGGCGACGTCCCGGGGAAGCCCAGCAGTAGCGCTACTGCCGACCTGCTGCTCCCGGTATGGCGGAACGGCTTCGACTTGCACCTAACGATGCCCCCAGCGCCGTCAAAGACAGGAAGCGACCACGTGGCCGGCTTACAGCAGCTGCTCGAGACGCTACCGGCGGCGCGGGCGGTCGAGACGATCCGTCAGGCCATCGGCACGGTGCGGGCGCCACCCGATACGTCGCTGCCGCCGCTGCAGTTCGCCACAGGCGCTCGCATAGTCGGCGTCCAGTTCCCGGCGAGGTTCGGCGGCGAGTGGGCGTCGGGGTGGAACGACAACGCCAAGGGCCTGTTCCCCGCCAGCGCGGTCCGGCTGGAGCAGCCGCCGAGCGAACAGGTCGTGAATACGTCACAGCAGGGCGGCGCCAACATGAGGGCCGTTGCGCGGTGGAAGTTTGCGGTCAAGGAGGGAAGGGACCAGCGGCGCGGCGGCAGCGAGTGGCTCAGGCTGGAAAAGGGCGAAACGATCAACAATATCGGGTGGGCGTACCCCGGTCACTGGTGCTGGTCTGGCGTCAACTCGAAGGGCAAATGGGGCATCTTCCCGCAAACTCACATCGACGCCAGCACGCTGCGAGAGGGCCCGCCGGCAGACCGGGTCAGCATTAGCAGTCATGAGAGGAAGATGTCGAGCCTGCTCGCCCGCATGTCGATGCGTACGCGGGCCGGGAGCTCGCCTTCGGATCCGCGGATGCACATTCACTAGGTTTTGTTTCGCCTGGTGGGGTACTGTGATATGTTGTCTAGTCTTGTTTTTTACTGGATGGGTTGATACCTTTTTGCTGTGGGATTCAAAAAGAAGCAAAAACATGTGTGGGACAGCAGCACGTTGCACCCGACGAGGGACATGGCCTAGCCACATGCCTGTGGAGCGGGGCACATTGAATGCTTAATCAGGGCTGCATCTAGGGAGGGATAGGGGCTATCAGCCTATAGATTGCTCCCTAGCATCCGTGCATGAATGTGCTGATTCGATATCAGTCGGCGTCCGTTCCTATCAGCAGAAAACCCACCACGGATGTTGCCCCTGAAACACCAACGCTTCTTGACCCCAGAACAAACAGCGCGGCGTAGGGCAGCCGGCCTGCTTGGACTTGGGACGAGAACGCCCGTTTTTTTTTTATACGTTGGCAAAATCTTGGAAGTCTCACCGCCCCTTACAGTCACGCTTCCACTGCGAGTTTTTTTTGTGGCATTGAATATCCTGAATTGTTCCAAACAGCACATAGGCTGGTCCATCCAGACCACGAGGTCGTTGGCACCCAAGACGTCGAGTTGGGCTGCTGAGTCCTCACCATGCCCGCAGTCATGGATGGCGTTCCGGCTCAGACTGCTCTTTCGGAGCCCGAGAAGATCCCGGACGACCAAGAGATCGACTTTGTGACTTTTGGGATGCTGATCATCGGTACGCCAGCACATCTTTTTTTTTTGTTCACTTTAAATACCCAAGACAGCGGTGCTGTACAAAGCGGCTGACATGACGCAACTCCTCCCTCCAAAGACGTCATCGAGTTCCCCCCGCCGCAGCCGGCGGCGCGCGACGTGCTGGGCGGCGCCGGCACCTTTGCGGCCCTAGGCGCGCGGGTCCTCTCGCCGGGGGGCGGCCACCCCCCGCGGTCCCGGACGGTGGGGTGGGTGGTGGACCGGGGCGGCGACTTCCCCGCCGCGGCCGACGGCGCCATCGCGTCGTGGCGGACCTCGGCGCTCGTGCGCGACGACCCCTCCCGCCGGACCACGCGCGGCTGGAACGGCTACGACGACCCGGCCGACCCGGGCCGCCGCTCGTTCCGTTACGCCACCCCGAAGCTCCGCCTGACGCCCGCCGACCTGGCCGCGTGCCCGGCGCTGCTGCGCGCCCGCGCCGTGCACGTCATCTCGAGCCCCGCGCGGTGCCGCGACGTGGTCACGGCGCTGTCGTCGCTCCGACGAAGGGCCATGGGCGACGATTATACCCGCCCGCTGGTCATCTGGGAGCCGGTGCCGGACCGGTGCGGGCCCGACGAGCTGCTCGAGCTGACAAACACGCTCCCGCTCGTCGACGTCTGCAGCCCCAACCACGCCGAGCTGGCGGCGCTCATGGGCGACGTCGGCCCCGGCGCCGGCCTGACGCCCGAGGGGGACGTGGACGCGGCCGCCGTCGAGCGCGCGTGCGAGCAGCTGCTGGCGTCGATGCCGCTGTCGAGCTTCGCCGTCGTGGTCAGGGCCGGGCCGAAGGGTTGCTACGTCGCGAGCAACGGCGGGGGGAGGAGGGGGAGGAGAGGGAAAAGCAAGGGCGAGAACAAAAACGGAGGGAAGGAAGAGGAGGAGGAGCAGCAAAGGCCAAAAAAGCAAAAGAAAAAGCCGGCGACGGCAGCGCCCCTCCAGCGCGGCGGCCTCCAGCCCGACACGGACATGCTGGCGCTCTTCGCCGGCCTGATGCAGGAGCCCGACGGCTCCGTGGCGCGCGACTTTGACGACGAGCCCGACCCTGGCATCGAGCGGTGGCTGCCAGCCTATTTTGGAAGCGAGACCACAACAACAACCACAACAACAACAACAACAACAACAAAAGAAGAAGAAGGAGAGGACGGGGACAACAGGCCGGAGGAGGAGGAAAAGAAGAAGAAGCAAGAGACCCCATCCGCCGCCGTGGTCGACCCCACGGGCGGCGGCAACGCCTTCCTGGGCGGCCTGGCCGTCGCCATGGCGCGCGGCCGCCCCGTCGAGGACGCCGCGCTGTGGGCCACCGTCGCCGCCAGCTTCGCCATCGAGCAGGTCGGCGTGCCCGTGCTGGCCGTCGGCCCCGACGGCGAGGAGACCTGGAACGGCGTGCGGGTTGGGGACAGGGTGGCCGAGTACTTTGGGCGGCTAGGCGTCATTCCCGAGGGCGTTCTTTGAATTTTGTTGTCTGTTTTTTTTTTGTTCAAAATGCCTTTGTCTCGAGTAAAAAGTTTGTCATGTTTTGTTTTCCTGCATTTTGTTCTTTTGGCCGTCATAACGTTGTGAGCCGGGTCTGGAGTTGGGGCGCGATGGGACTGCGTGGCGCTAGAAGATAGACGACAAGACACGCATGCTAAATGCCAATATAAAACCAAGCCATGTCAACAGACGATACATGGTTAGCATACAACATTTCTCCTTGTCACGTCTGCCAGCTGGGTATTATCTACAAAAGATCCGGGCTCGGCAGCCCAAAACACCGCCTTCCCATTAAACGCCCACCAAGAGCCAGACACATTCGTTTACTGCCATCCATCATGTATCCATGCATCCGTAATCGTAGCTTCCCCAAAGTCACTGCCCACGAGCTTAAATCCGGTAAACAGTCTCTCCCTCGGTGTACCTGTGATAGTTACTATTGTTAGTGTCACACTCAAAACGACCATGTGCGGGGTGGGAATAAAAGGGCAGCACATACATAATCTGGTTGGCCTCGTTCATCTTGCGCAAGGCCTTGATGCCCTCCTCCTTGTCGAACGCCCCGCCATTTCGGGAGCCCATCTTAGCGTTCACGGCCGCGATCACGGCGTCCACGTCGGCCTCATCATCCTCAAAGAGGCCCGTCGACTGTAGCTGGCCGAGCGTCTGCCTGAAGGCGTTGAGTCGCGGCGCTGTGATGGCCGGCCCCTCCGCCGGTGCGATGCTTAGGGCCGCCGCCCCACTGGCGAGCTCGTCGGCGGCGCCGTCCGCGTCCTCGTCGTCCTCCTGCGTCTCCAGCTGGGATGCCGGCATGGACGAGGCGTACGAGACCTGCGACGAGCTCCCTGCCGCCGCCGCCGCCGCCGCCTTGCGCCCGTTCCGGGGTGTCCTGCGCGGCGGGGCCTCTTCCTCTTCCTCCTCCTCCAACTCTTCGCCATCGGCTGGGACCCCTGGGCTGCTCTCTCCGTTGCGTCGTGAACTGCCGTTGGCGGCTGTTCGGCGAGGTCTGGCGGTACCGCGGGTAGACGGAACGCCGCTGGGACGGGCGGTGCTACGGAAGTTTCCGTCGTCATCGTCGTCATCACCGCTGCCTTCCTCGCTCGAGGATGCAAAATCGACCGTCTGCGTCTTGCGCCGCTTCTTGCGTGACTCATCCTCGAGAAGCTCCTTGAAGAGCGCAAAGCGCAGGATCGACTGGGCGGCTGCCGCGTCGCGCTCCTCGACCCGGTTGGAAAGCCGTGACCTCGCATGGGCCGTGGCCAGACGGATGATGGTTTCGAGCGTACGCACCGTCATGGGGCTGGTGCGCCGCTGGTTGCCCTCGACCTCGTCGTTGCGCAGGCCGACGTAGATGTCGGCGATGCGGTCAGACGCCTCCTGGGTCAGAACAGGCCGGATGCGCGTCTTGGCGTACTGGATGTACTTCTTCATGAAGGGGATGCTGAGAACCTCGGGCCGCTTGTTGGCGCCGCGACCCGACGTCACAGTAACGCCTGCGTGCAACATGGAGTCGAACTTCTCAAACACCTCGGTTGGCTTTTGAGAGTCGGCCGACTGACTCTGCATCCCCACGCCGAGGGATTGGCCCGTGTTCTCGCGGACCGGCGCCCCCTCCTCGGTGCCGGGCTGCCGGTAGCGGTGCATGCGGAGGACGTGTTCCGACACCTGCCTGTCGCGCGTGTCCTCGATGTCGTCCGTTACAACAAACAGCAGATCGAAACGAGAGAGCAGCGAGTCCGGGAGCGCAATGTTCTTGTGCGGGTCCTTGTGCGGATCATACTGGCCATAGACGGGGTTCGCGGCCGCGATAACACTGCATCGTGCGTTGAGCGACGTGTGGATACCAGCCTTGGCGATGGTGACGGTCTGCTGCTCCATGACTTCGTGGATGGCGACTCGGTCGATGTCGGACATCTTGTCAAACTCGTCGATACAGACCACTCCGCGATCTGCCATGACCATGGCTCCGGCCTCTAGCCTCCTCTCTCCCGTCTCCTTGTCCGAAGTCACGGCCGCCGTCAGACCGACGCCCGAAGATCCTCGGCCCGTCGTCGCAATGGCCAGGGGTGCCGTGTTCAAAACGAAGCGTAGCAGCTGAGACTTGGCTGTTGACGGGTCGCCAACCATCAGGATGTTGATATCACCCCTGAGATGGGTGCCGTTCTCGAGGTTCTTCTCCACGCCGCCCAGAAGCATCAGAAGGATGGCCTTTTTGATGTGGTCGTGGCCGTAGATGCTGGGCGCCAGCGACTGCGACAACAGCTCAAACAGATTCTTCTTTTTAGAGATCTTGTTGATGTTGCGCAGGTCGGTGTCAGTAATGGTGGCCGTGGCCACGCCGCCGCTGGCTTTTGATGACAGCAGCACGACGTTGTTGGCGAGAATCAACGTCTTGAAGAGTGCGCTGTTGTGGTTCGTGTTCCGGTTGCCCATAGTCCTGAAGATGCCAACCAGTTGGATACGGTCGCCCGGCTTGACCTTGTCTACCAGGTCGTCGTCGAGGATCACATCGACGCCGCGGGGGAGCTGGCCAGCAGGGGCACGCTCGGGCATCTCCTGGATCGAGATGGTCTGGTGATCCCTGTAGGTGCAAAAGCCGTACTCGGTCATCAGGGGGTTTCCCTCCTCGTCCTCGTGCGGGTAGACGCTCGATGTGGTGACGCCGTTGGTCATGGTCTGGTCGCGGTATTCCCGAAAGTGAAACTTGTCCTTCACCTCGTTGTAGTGCACGCTCTTGACCACCTTTGGCCGGATCAGCGAGCACCTGGTGACGATGCCCTCGATCGAGACCATGCGGTTGAGTAGGCTGGACGACAGGGTCCTGGGGTTGCATGCGTGCAGCCCAAAGCTGCCGGCCCAGGCGCAGTAGTATTGAACCTCGTCGTCGATCTGGTCTGGCTTTGCGTTCGGGACCGTCTTCACGATCTGCTTGAGCGCATGGTTGAAGGCCAGAGAGTACTCAAGCGGGTCCATGAGCAGGCCCTCTGATATCTCGGAATTGTGGTCGCGGACATGGTCGATGTTGACCACCAAACGCCTCTGGTTCTTCTGCAACATCAAGACGATGTCGGGCCTGTAGCTTCGGGCATTCTGGTCGTCTGGAGAGGGGCACGAGGGAGTTCAGCCAGATGTCGCACGGCGGCCCGAGGCCAGTAGGGCCAGGAGTACGAGCCACTGCGACTCACGAGGGTCAAGAAACTCTTCGGCCAGGCGCACGCGATTTAGCGCGGCCTCGTCGCGCTGACTGAAGGCATCCATGGTGTCAAAACGTCACTCCCGGGAGGGTGCTGTCGCCGTCTGGGAGTGCGGCGAGCAGGTCGAAAGAGGGGTCGATATGTCCGCAGTGATGCGAGGCGAAGGGCTGGCATAGCCGTGGTGATGCGAGCGAATTGGGTGGCATTGGTCTCTCCGCAACGAGGGATGGAGGGGCCAATCGCGGTCAAAACGCGATGGAGCGCGTCGGTGGGTCCTATTGACACGCGAAGCCCAATGACATCTCCGGCAGAGGCAGGGGTTTAATTACCCCGCTGCCCGCTTATAACGAGAAGCGAGACATCGCTGGAATTTAATGGGCTAATTGGATTCGTTCTTGTCCTCAGCTCTAAGCTCTAGACGGGCTCCTTCCTGACTTGCTGCTCAGTTATCACTCTCTGGAAATTTGAACACGCCCAGCTCAGGCCACGAGGCACGCATGTCCATGGCTACCAGCTGCACCCACGCCGCCGTCTGCCCAATATCCGGCGGGAGAGCCGTGGTTGGAAAAAGCCAGAACCCAAAGACCGGGTTGACGTTGTCCACGGCCACATCATCGCGCCCCGAAACCGCCGCGTTGAATCTGTACTTCTCCGTCCCCAGACACTGCCACGCGCCGGTCTGGTCGTAGGACTGGCCAAACGGGCGGGAGTCCGCCGCCAACATTAGACGAAAGTTGGTAGTGCCGACCTTGCCTTCCGGGAACACGCCCCAGGCCTCCATCAGGCGCCTCCACTGCGGAAAGAAGGTCTCGACGCCCGGCCGTATCCTGAAGCTCGGCACCCTGGCCAGGTTGATGGCGCGCGGGTCGCGCGGCAGGCGGTCGAAGTTGGGGGTCGACACCATGGTGGGGTACGAGTAGCTGAAGAAGGGCCTGGTCCCGGGCTGGGAGAGCGTGTTGTGGCCGAGGCCGTGTCCCGTGGGGCACAGGTCCAGGAACCACACTTGACGCAACCGCGAGAACGTCTCCCTGAACGCCTCCGTCAACGCGGAGGATGCCAGGATCGACTGTCTAGGAACGCCGTTGAGGCTCTTCAGGGCCTCCATGTTGACCACCATATTCAGGATCCCGACGCCATTGGGGTCGTAGACCGTCTTGAAGCGCTGGATGAAGTCGATAGTGACGTCCTCCCTGCCCTCTAGGTTGCGCCCATATGTCTCCTCGCTTCCCAGCCGCAGCAGGAAGTCAAACTCAGGGTTCATGCGCAGCGTGCCGTGGGACCAGCTCTTGCCGGGGGGAGGGATCGCCGCCGCACACAGGCTGTCGACCCATTTCTTGGAGGCGTTGCCGCCGAATATGCAAGGCACCCGCATGCGGTAGAAGCGAAGCGCGACCTGGCGGGCCTCGGTGCTGACGCTGAGCAGAGGGTTCACAAGATCGTAGCCGTCGGCGACGACGGTGTAGTTGATGTCGGAGCCGCAGATACGAGGGATTGAGCGGACCAGGTGCGGCGGGATGGCAGGGATCTGCCCGCGGCACTCCAGCTCGGCATCGGCGCCGCCGCCGCCGGTCTCGATATCGAGATGGCTGGCTACGAGCACGCGGATGATGCGATTTCGTTCCAGCGCGACCCTCCAGACTCGCAGGCGAAGCTCTGCTGGTAGGGCAGGGAACAGGCGGAATCCCGGCGCGAGGCCGTCATTCTGCTGCGTCGCCATTGTTGGGATACCTGGCAAACCAGCAATGGCTGTTTGAAGCAGGCTCCGACGCTACGATCTCTTCAAAGGGCAGATTATATACACATTCAACCATTGGGTGAGTGCGGGGTGAGCTTACCTCTCAACCTAGCTAGGCTGAGAGGGTGGCATATCCAGTCCGAGCCGGCCATCCTCTGAAATTTACAATGTAGGATGTTTTCGCCTAAACGTGCCTGCTTACATGGGTAGGAACATTGACAGCTCTGCCCAGCGCAGCTCCGGCGCTTTATCGAGACGCTGAGCCCAAGGAAGATGACCAATGATTTGGTACTACGTCGGATGGACATACGGCCGTACAGTAATGTCTACTAAAGATGCAGCCATGTAGAGGATGCTCTCTCAGCTGGCCAAATCAAGTGACCTTGGGGACGCGTTGCTCAGGCCGAAAGTCGGAGGAAGCGGGGAATGCAGTCGGTCTGCTTCGGCTTCCCCACACGCTTATATGGTCACCCTCGATAAGAGATACTCGCTTCAGGCATCCCGTAGTTGACTGGACTAGTATTGGAACAAATTGATTGGCCTTTGGGGATCTGTAGTGGACCAAAGACTTGGTATTATTACAACATTGGACCCTGCCGGGGCAGTCTATCGACCTGGTTGCTATCATACTGTACCTGTATCGGCCCGCGGCTCCACTCATGCAGCCGGGGCCGAGGCAGACCGCCTACCATCGGAGCTCCCAGCGCTCCCGTGTCCAGCTCTGTGCATATATTAACCATGTCCCACGGGACATCGGGAAGCAGCAAAAAAACGGTCAAAATCACATCCTATCAACTCGGCATCGCGCCCTGAAATCAGACACAGCGAGAAGATCAGCCAGCCTGACAGCCGCATCAGCCATGGCGGCCGTTGCGGGGAGCCAGAGCAAACCGGATTCCAACAGCCAGGTGCCCAAGTCAGCGGTGCTGCACCGAAAACTGGGCATCGAGTTCCTGCGCGTCGCAAAGGCAAAGGGGCAGTATCTGATCCTCGACGATGGTCGCAAGATCCTGGACGCGTCCGGTGGAGCAGCCGTCACCTGTCTTGGCCACTGCGATGACAGGGTAAACCAGGCCATGATAAAGCAGCTAAACGAGGTCGCATATTGCGCCACCATCTTTTACACCACTACGCCTTTTGAGGAGCTCTGCCAGGTCTTGATCGACTCGACCAATGGCCACATGGCAAGAGCCTACATCGTGAACTCGGGTGAGCTTTCCTGCGAGAAGCGGTTTGTGATATAACAAGCCAGGGTGTTTCTGCTTTGCATAGGCTGACAGTCAGCAGGATCCGAGGCCATGGAGGCAGCCATGAAGATGGCGCGGCAATACTTTCTCGAGAAGAAGCCGGCGGAGCCCCAGCGGACAAAGTTCATCTCGAGGGCCCAGTCCTATCACGGGATTACGCTGGGGTCCCTCTCGATGGGTGGCCACAAGTACCGCCGGGAGAAATTCGAGCCGATGCTGCTGAGTAACATCACGCAGGTGTCGCCCTGCTACGCGTACCGGGAGAAGAAGCAGGATGAGACGGACGCCATGTACGTGGAGCGGCTAGCTGCCGAGCTGGATGCCGAGTTCCAAAGGCTCGGGCCCGAGACGGTCTGCGGGTTCGTGGCCGAGCCGGTGGTGGGAGCTGTAAGTCTGCAGCACCGTGTACTCCAACGACTTCTTCGTTTCTTGGACCGCTGACCTCCCGGACCGACGAAACAGGCACTAGGATCCGTCCCTGCGGTAGCGGGATACTTCAAAGCCATGCAGGCCGTGTGCCGCAAGTACGGCGCGCTTTTGATAATGGACGAAGTCATGTCGGGCATGGGCCGCACCGGGACTCTCCATGCGTGGGAGCAGGAGGGCGTCAAGCCAGACATCCAGACTATAGGAAAGGGTCTCGGCGGCGGTTACCAGGCAATCGCAGGTGTCTTGATGAGCCAGGGTGTGATCGACGTTCTGGAACAAGGCACGGGCGTCTTCGTCCACGGCCACACCTACCAAGGACATGCCGTTGGCTGCGCCGCCGCGCTCGAGGTCCAGCGCATCATCAAGGAGGACAAGCTGCTGGAGAATGTTCGTAAGATGGGTGACCATCTGTCGCGCGGACTGCGCGAACGGGTTGGTGGCCACCCCAACGTGGGCGATATCAGGGGCAAGGGCCTCTTCTGGAGCCTGGAGCTGGTGGCCGACAAGGCATCAAAAGCTCCATTCCCCATCACCGATGGCGTGGCCATGGATATTTGCACGCTTGGTCTGACAGCTGAGTACGGCGTCTCGCTGTACCCCGGCACTGGGGGCGTGGACGGTGTGAACGGGGACCACATAATGCTAGCACCGGCGTATATAATCACTGAGGCAGAGGTGGCGGCGCTGGTCGACATGGTCGGGAGGCTGGTGGATGATTATTTCCGCGCAAAAGCGGCATCGTCCTAGGCGGGGACATTGACGAGCTGGCTTTGTAGTTCAATAATAGCAACAAATGGATGTCGGACGAACAGAGGAGCCTCCTCATGCGAGATGGGATGAGAAATATGCGATTGATCAGAGGCAATGGGATTGATCGTCGCTTCATGTTTAGTGGGTTCATGTTCAGACAGACAACAACAGTGCGAGTTCTTGTCGCAGGCCACTCAAACAATACAACCGCCACGATGGACGCACTGTGCCGCTTGACGTTGTCCAAGCTTCGCAGGCAAGGCCGCACCCCAGATTCCCCCATCATCACTGCAACCCCCCAGCCAGGCCAGCCCCCCTTTTCAGGAGCAGCCGACACGAGAACGGACACCACGACGGCATCACGGCGGCCAGCAGCTGGCTTCGGTGCCCACGACACCCCCCGCTTCCACCCGCCCTCGCCCAATTCCTCCGCCCGCCGCCGCTCTTTTGCGCCCAGACAGCTCCGACGGACGCCGCCATGGCCGTCGGATTGGCCAATGGCCGACACGCCGCCGAGGAGGAGGCGCGGGCCGAGGTCGACGTGCTCAACTCCCGGCTAGAGAAGACGACGCAGCTGACCAAGAAGATCGAGGCTTGTCTGGGCAAGCTCGAGTCGACGGGCAAGAGCGTGCGTGAGGTAGTCGGCCCGCTCAACGGAGAGACCAAGAAGCTGCAGATCCTCGGCAACAGTGAGTGGCCGTTGCATGCTACATAGCTGCTAGCGAGGGGACGCTGATACCGACCGCCCTTACCTCCCACTCTTGCAGACATTGAGAGCGTCCTCGCCGCCATCGAGCGGCTGCGCGTGCCGGCCGACAGCAAGAATGACGAGGAGCAGATCATCCGCATGGGCCCCGAGAAGGCCGGGCTGTCCAACTACCTCAACTCCATCAAGCGACTGAACAAGGCCCTGTCCGACATGAAGGCCTCCAACCTGCGCTCGACGCAGCAGACCATGGCCGACCTGCAGCGGCTGATCAAGTCGGGCAACACGCAGCTCGAGAACCAGTTCGACCGCATCCTCCGCACCGAGACCCCGCGCTCGCTCGAGCCCCTACTCTACATCACCAAAGACAAGCCGTTCCCGCTGCTGTCGCAGGAAAAGGTCACGCGCCTGGGGCTCATCTACTCGTACGTGGCTGGGGCGCAGCGGCAGGGCGCCGAGTCGCCCGTGGCCCAGATCTACGCCGAGGTGCGCGGGCCCTACATGGCCGAGACGCTGGTCAACCTGGCGGCCGCCAGCGTCAACACGGCCAAGAAGAAGCACCCGGACGCCGTGTACCGCGCCGGCACCAACGGCATGGCCATGTACGTGCAGGCCATGGAGGGCCTGTTCCTGGCCGAGTACGAAAACATCACGAGCATCTTCTCGCGCGACGACTGGGGCCCGCTGTTCCAGACCACCTGCCAGGCGTCGCTGGCCGAGTTCTCGCGCACGCTGCGCGAGCTCAACGCCCACATCAAGGCGCACCTCAACACGGACTGCTTCCTCGCCTACGAGATCGTCGAGGTGGTCTCGAGCCTGTCGAGCCGCCTCGAGACGCGGACGGGCGAGCTCAAGAGCTCGCTGGCTGCGTCACTGAAGCCCGTGCGCGAGACGGCCAAGTCGACGCTAGCCGAGCTGCTCGAGGACACGAAGCGCCGGGTGGCGGCCATGCAGACGCTGCCGGCTGACGGCGCGTCGTCGCCCATCATCGCCGAGACGATGCAGAGGCTGCAGACCATGGTGGAGTTCCTCCGGCCCGTCTCGAGCGTCATGGTGTCGCTAGGGGACGGCGGCTGGAAGTCGCTGGCGGCGTCGCGGGCCGGCGGCGGCGACACGATCCCGGCGCTGGCGTCGTTCGACGTCGGGGCGGACGGCAAGGAGATCTTTGCCAACTACTGCGCCGATACCATCGACGCGCTGCTGCTGTCGCTGGACGCCAAGGCGCGAATGCTGATGGGCCGCAAGCCCGTGGTGGGCGTGTTTCTGGCCAACAGCATCACCATCATCGAGCGCTCGATCCGCGACTCGGACCTGGCGCCGCTGCTGGAGCAGCGCCTAGGCATGGTGGAGCAGTGGCGCAAGAAGGCAACGGCCATGTACACCGAGGCCTGCAAGGACGTGTCGATGCACCTCTTTGACGTGATCCACACCAGCCGGTCGGCGCGCCCGTCGTCGGGCCACGCCGCCGTCGACTCGGCCTCGATCCTCAAGCAGCTGAGCTCCAAGGACAAGGAGAGCATCAAGGCCAAGTTCACGGCCTTCAACGCCTCGTTCGACGAGATGGTGGCGCGCCACAAGTCCTTCACCATGGAGCGTGAGGTGCGCCAGATGTTTGCCCGCGACATGCAGCAGATGCTGGAGCCGCTCTACGTCCGCTTCTGGGACCGCTACCACGAGGTCGACAAGGGCAAGGGCAAGTACGTCAAGTATGACAAGGTCACTATTGCCACCACCTTTGGTAGTCTGTACTAGCCGGCGGGCCCCCCGCCGGATCGACGGCCTGCCGTCCCAAAACAGTAAACGGTTCAGCCAGCGTCTCATTGCTGCGTGCATACTTTAATCCAACCAAACAACCAACTACCTATCCATCCATCCATCCATCCCATCCATCCATCCATCCATCCATCACAACCACCACCGCCTATCCCCAACACTAGTGTGGCCTCCAAGACAGCCGGTCCTGCGCACGTCCCTCGGTTCAACAAGGCGCTGTTACTGCCAGGGCCTGCTGGGTCTGCCAAGCCTGGTCCGGTCTTGTCACATCTCACTTTTCCTTTCTGCCAGCCTCCTCTTTTGGCAAGACGCTGTTCCAACCCACGCCGGCGGTGACCCATATCAGTTCGTGGGGGTCCAACGCTCGGCAACCGATCCCTCCCTTGACTACCGATGGTCACCGACCACCCGTCAACCGATGAATCGGCCTGATGTAGAAGACGGATATTATTGCCATCTGTTGATCTCTTTTCTTTTATTCTTATTTTTTGTTCACTCTCCCCATCCCCTCCTTACGGGAGGGAACCGGATTGTCACTGGGTTCAAGGGTCATGATACCACATATACAGTCTACTACACGGCGTTTCCGGCGTCCTTGCTTCAGCAGAAAGAAAGATATATACTTGCAGACATCACCCATTTGTACTGGGTGGCCGGCCGGCACGCGGGGTTTCGGCCGGCCACAACGCCCTTTGAGGCCGGGGGGAGGATTCATGCCTGCCGTCGTAGACATGCCTGCCGTTGTGGAACCGACCTACGCACCCCGAAAGCCTGCCTTGGGGGACTTTTTAGAAATCAAACCAACAAAATTTCCCTCCAGGGTGCAAAGCCAGAGGATCTGCCAGCCGCTACCTCTATTGTGGCAAGGCTTAATAATATAGTGATTGGTGAGAGGAGAACGACAGGTCACTTTTTCCCTCTGCTGGCTTGCCTGCCCGCCTGCCTCCCTTCGGTCCGTTGGGGGAAAGAGCAAGAGCAAGAGCAAGAACCCGGATCCGGCTCGCCGAGCCGGTGCTGGGACTAGACGGCTAACCCCCAGGCCCAGACCTCTTTTCACCCATGACACACGGGCTTGACGCCCTCGCCCCTTTGGGAAACGGGTGCATTGGCGAGGCCTGGCGACTAGGCCGCCTTGAGGCAAGGCAAGGCCTGCAGGGCGCCTATATCGATTCGTTCGCCCTGTCCCATCCGCTGGCTTGATGACGATGGGCGATTGGCGCGAGGAAGCAAGCGCCGCATAGGGACTTGTGGATGGCGCCACGTCCGTGGGCTAGCCGGTGGTTTATGCGCGTGTTGAGTGAGCGAGTGAGTGTGTGAGTGAGTGTGTGTGTGCACAGGCTCGATGTGTCTTGGTGAGAGCACTTGGGGGTGGTGGTGCCCGCCAGCGTTGCCTTCTCTCTTTCTGATCCTCTCCAACGCATGATGGATGAACATGTAGGAGACGGGGCCGGCATCCATTCCATCCAAGCCTCGACGTGGGTGTTATCTCCGGCCCCCATTTTCTCCTCCCCTCTCTCGTGCTCCTCCTGCTTCCCAGCTCCTCCCCCAAAAGCCAGTGTACAGTAGGCAGGGATGTGATGCGATGCCAGCACATACCCACATGCCTTACGCCCTGCCCATGCCCTACCCTGTCCAGGCCCTCCCCCCCTGGACGCAAATCACACATCATCAACAAACGCCCCCTCCAAACACTAGGGTCGCCCCCTGGCAGGGCGGTCGGCAGGCTGCATATGGCGACATGTTTTCTGCGGCCCGGCCAATACTGAGTCGGGACATTAGAGCCCCCCCAGCGCTCGTCGGACCGGGGGTGGAGCGAGCACGCGCGGAGTTCGAGAGAGAGGAGAGGGATGGAGACTTTTTTTTCTTTCGGCGCGGAGACTGTTACGCCCTGTCTGCCTGCCTGCCTGCCGCGGACATGGGTACGGACGCCTTGCATCTGCATGCTGCTGCTGCGGGCCTGCCTTGTTCTTGTCTTGTCGTTCTCCTCTTTCTCTCCTCCTCTGGCGCTCTCTCGTCTTCGCGTCTCGAGCGCCCTCCTGGCTCTGTGAGCCGAGCTTTGTAGGATGAGAGGAGAGGGGGCGGCGGATGAGGAGAGACACGCAGATGTGAATATGCCGTATCCTTGTTCGCTGGGCGTTGCCTCCATGCCTGTCTGTCTGTGTGCGCCCGGAGTACACGCAGACTAGCATAACATGGCACAGAGACCGGCCGATTTATTAGGTTGCACTTTCTCTTGGCCCAGCGTGCAATGCAAAGCCCCGTGTCCGACGCAGGCCATACCCGGGCCACTTCAGCTTTTGTCGAAATTGGCTGCTGATAACACGCTGACCATTTTCGGAGTTCGGTGTGGAAGAGAAAAGGAGATGTGAAAGAGAGCAGGAATATATTACCTTGTAGCACATAGTAGTACATACACAAAAACAAGACAAAAAAAACAAAAAAAAACATAATGGCAAGCTAAAACGGATGGACACTGACCACCACCGCTTGACCCTGCCGCGCCCTGCCATGCACATCCTCCCATCCCATTTCTCATAGATCCCTGTCGTTGGTCTCCCTTCCACCCCTGCCGACTGCGACTCTGGAGTGCCATCGCCCGATTGCTCTGCTCGCCCGGCCCCTTCGGCGGGTGGATCTCTTTTTCTGTCTCTCTCACTCTCATCTCTCATTCTCACTCACTCCTGCTCGACTCCCTGCCTTCCCACCCTTCACCTTGCCGAGAGAGATATTGAGGCTGGTGACAGGTTGCATGGATCTGTTGGCCCACGTCGTACAGGACCGACCGGCCTCTTCCCTCCCCTCTCCTCTGTGCAAGGAGGAAGTGAGAGCGGAACAGTGACGGCGCCCGCCCCGTCCCTGGCTTCCCCTTTCCTCCCACCCCCAGCAATAACTAGCAGCTCCGACTGGCCGGGCCCCCCTGTCCTGTCTCGTCCTCTCTGGCGCCTGCTGCCCCTGTCTTATTTATTTATTTTCCTTATTAGACTAAACCAAGCTCGCGCAGCCATGGTCCACCGCCCAACCAACAAAAACCCTTACAAACCAAACCAAACAGAAAAAAAGGCTACTGCTGCTGCTGCTGCCCACCTAGCCATGTACGTTGGCTTACATACGTGGTTGCAGCACAATAACGCTAACACACAGACACTCAGGCGCCACACTGTACGCCCACGCCCCCCTAGCCTTCCCGGCAACGTCGACGACGCGGCCCCGAGCTACTGTCCTGCTGCTGCTGAGGGGGTGTCCCGCAGCGTAAGGCTCATCCCGGCTACCTTGACCCTGCCCGGCCCGATATTTTGGCGGCCGCGTCCTGTCCTTGCTGCTGTTGCTGCTTGCTCCGCTTTTTTTTTTTTTTTTTTGGCTGCTTGCCGCTTGCTCCATCTTGCTACTTGTTGCTGCTACGACTTCGTATCCATTGCCGGCAGCGTGAGACAACGCGTGTCGATTTCTGTTTGTTGTCATTATTACCTGATGGGCTTATTCCCGTCTCGACTCCACAGCACGCCTTTTTTTGCAGCATCGGGCGGTCGTGCGACTGTGACGGCCCCGGCCTCTTGCCGCTCTTGATAGCCCCATCTGTCTTTCATGTAGGTACCCCTTTTCCGCTCTCTCGCCTTGCCTGCCGGCTGGGTTTCCCTCTCGGCCTAACGCAAGCCGGCAGAAACGCAGCCAAAAGAGAAAAAAAAAAGCAAAAAAAAAAAAAGCAAGCACGCCGCGTTGGCTAGGTAGGTATCCTACCTACTACCCGCCTGCTGCCTACGTACCTACGCAGCCAGCCCCCATCCTGCACAACCATTCCTTCAGAGGGCCATCTACATGCAGACAGCTCGCCCCCTCCTCATACTGTGTTACTACTTCTCCCATGCATAGTTTCACGCTTGCGAGCTGGGCATGACTGTTGCACTTGGAGCTGTTACGTCTGACGCTGCGCTTTCCCAGCCTAGCCGGCTGCATTCTACCTTGCTCCTTGGTGACCAAACCTGTTTTCAGATCCCCGATCAGCAACCCCTCTCTCAGTCTCACTCACTCACTCACTCACTCACTTGCGAGCCGGCATCTGATCTATGCTTTTGCCCATGCCCTCCCTGCACTTGACCCGCCCCGTATCGCCAACCCCTGACTCCCCCGACCACGTCTCTCCGATGGTGTGCGTGCTCCGGCAGGCCCCAGGGGGGGGTTTAGGTTTCGGTAGATACCCTCTACTACAACATTGAGCCAGTCCCTTTCCCCCCATCCTCCACATCCCCAGTCCACTCTTGGCCTCATTGGGATCTCTTTCCTCCCTCTCCCGCCTCAATCTATACGCGTATCCCCTACCCAAGGGAGCCGCCCACTTGCCTGCCTCACTCCCGCCCTTCCCCTCCCTCTCCCCCCTCCCGAGCCTAATCCACACCGATACATGGCGTAATGCAGCATTACCAACCTGCCCCGGAACTCCACACCTCACCCATGACAAGGACGTGGAATGGAGAGTTCAGACAGACAAGCAGGGGAGGGGCCAGGGAACCCATGCGTATGCACATATGGGTGCAAGGCAAAGCATCCATGTGCCTAAAAATGGGCTGTGTGGAGGTGAGAGCCAGCAGCTTGGGGGGGCGTGTATTTGTGTGGTGTGAATGACCAGACAGCAGCAAAGAACCACTACCCTCCCCCCAAACGACCCACCGCGTTCGCTCGCTTCTCAACGGAGTGTGGGTGGATAGTCCCGATCGACGAGGAAACGCGATCCTCGGCGTCTTGGCAGGCGTGTGGGCCATCAGGCGCAATATGTGCATACATGGCCCGCCGAGCGAGGCAAGAGCCCGCTGCTTCTCCTCATTCTCGGGCGGGCGGGCGTGACGCGCTTGGAGGGGGGGGGGAGGGACAGATGGCGACCAGTGACCGGGCGGGCCGAGTGAGAAATGGTGCCGAAACGGGCAGGGTGTCAGGAGAGCTGCAGTCCCCCCTCGGGCCTGCCTGGGCTGCCACCTCATCCTTCTCTCGTTGCATGAGGGAGAGAGAGAGAGAGAGTGAGAGAAGAACAGAAATAAAAGGCGCCATGCCGGATACGCACTAGGCTAAATCACGCGAGCAGAGCAGCAGGCGCCATTGGGTACCACCAGGAAGCAGGAGAGGAAGAAAAGAGAAGCAAGGACCAAGGTGCGTGTCTCCCGGCGCGTGGGGTTTCCCACCACCCTCAGCCCGGGTATACAGGCCCGCGCGGTCTGCCGGTCTCTCTCTCTCTCTCCCAGTAGACTACCTTGGTGGGTGGACATACACACACACACACACACACACCCCTTGCCACGCACGCAGCATGCGTGTGTGGTAAGATATCGGTTTGTCACAAGAGGACGGACCCGACGCCCGGTCTTTCTGTCTGCAAGCGAGGCTGCCTCTGCAACGCACTCCCCCAGATGGGCAAATCAGAATCGGCCATGTCTGCCTGGCCCGTGTCGGAAGAAGGGCGGCCCCGGGCTGGCATTGGCGGGACCAGACATCTGCCTGCCTGCCTGCTGCACACGCACGCTGCAGCTGCAGCTTCACCTCCTTCGTTCGTTGCCAGAGACGATCGGCCAGTGGACGATGCGAGTTGCAGTGCGTGTGCATGAGCAGGCCACTCGCTCACCGTCTTCGTTCGCATCCCGCCTTCCCCTCCTGCCCTCCGCCGTCCTCTGCTCGCCCACGGCTGGCCAGGCTCTCCCGGGTGGCCGGCCTGTTGCCTCATTCGTTGTTGGCGTGCAGATCGACAACAGCCGCTTGTGAGCTGGGCATTATCACACTCCCCGTGGCAAAGAGAGAATCATCATCTCGGCGCCTTTTCACGTTCCCACATAGCCTGCAGGTGTTTTGACCAGAATATCTTCATTTCATTCTCATTTGATTTCCCCTACCCGAGCACTAACGAAAAAATAACTCCCAATCCGACCGACCTAACTCGAATGTCCATGAGCTGTTGTAACGAATGAAATCGACTTTTTTGGAGTATCGCGACACACTGCTGACGTGCCCATGCAAAACGACAAGGCCACCTCCATTTCGACAGTAGAGTCCAACAGCCAGTAAGCCAGTGGTGTTAAAAAGAACATCACGACAACGCCAGCCCAGCTCCCTGGGTCATGATATGGGTGGGGCAAGAGGGCGATATACAATCGTAAAAACAAAATCACAGGCTGACCAACACCATGGTATAAAACGCTCATCAAGTGAGGCGAGAGGGGCTCAGACGACAGAGAAAACAGGAGAAACAAGATGGGGTATGACGCTGCACAAAAAGACAAACAAGGTAAAAGAGTAAAAGAGAAGGATTCCCAGACTGCCCGAAGGAGCAGTTTACCTCCGTCTCGTCAGCCTTGCATTGCATGTGGGCGGGGCAAATGCAGGAGGCCGATTTGGGGCAGACAGGGCGTGGAATGAGTGAGGGGGGCTGTGGCAGGGCAGAGCAGACCGCCCAGCTCTCCCAGTTGGCCAGTCGGCACGCTGCAGGTTCATGTGTATGGGGAGGACAAGGTGGCAGGCGTGTTGCGGCAAGCGAAATGCAGCTGCATCCCATCCTATTCGCATCGTAGTGTCTTCCGCCGACCTGAGGGAGGTGTATCGTTGGGGGCAAGGGATGGGTGCGGGCTGCTTCTGATGGCTCCCACGCCCCCCAAAGGTTCCTATGAGGGTGCATTGAGTCGAGGCGGATGGGGGTTTCCAGCCAATGGCAAGGCGAGTGTGGCGTTGCTGACTCCGTAAGCAGGAAACAAGTCCCCGTTGGATCGACACGGCTGGCTCCGGCTCGCTGACGGCGCGCTCGGGAGAAGAATGAAACAAAATCGGGATAGAAAAGGAAGGAGCAGAAAGCTCCGAGTGGGCCGGTCGTGATATGGTGGCCGACTAGAGAGTGTTGGATGAGCTTAGGAGGGGCACTTGTGGCAGTAGTAGTGGCCTCCGCAGTAGTCGTGGGTGCCAAAGTCGACGGCCTTGCAGCAGAAAGTGCAGCAGTAGTTGATGAGAGGCTGGATCTCCTCGGCGGACATGATGGCGGTGGGCTTGAGAAGTTGTGGAGGGTGCGTTTTGTTTGTTTGTTTGTGGAAAGCTGGACTGGACAGTAGCCAAGGTCGAGACTGGGAGAGGCTCAAGAAGGTTGTTTATATGTGTGGGCGAGGAGAAGAAGGTTTGATGGACTGGATGAGGTGATGGGCGATGATTTGTGGGTGTGTTTCGTGGTGTCGTCCTGAGGTTGGCAAGTGGGAGGAATCTGGGGTTTAAGTAATGGACCAAGGTTGTGGAAGGAGCCGATGATGCTGATCGCTTGGGTCGAGGTACTAAGCCTGCCTTGACGTGTTTTTTCGACTGGTGGGACAGCACGTCCAGAGTATACCTGTCGGCGAGAGGCTGAAAAGGGGAATCGGGGTTGCAGACCAGCAGCTGGCGGGGGGGTGTGTGTGGAAAAGTGAGCTCGAAAGTGCTGCATGTGAGTTGGCTTGACAGGGGCCTGGGAGGGGAGGGGGTGTTGGTGTGCGAGATCTGCATACGTGGGCCTAGTCAGGGCGTCAGGGCGTCAGGGCGTCGGGGCGTCAGGGTGCCAGGGCCACTTTGCGCGGAGAGAAGCAAAAAAAAAAAGGACAAGGGTCTCTCAAGACGAACCCTGCCCTGTCATCCATTCCACTCACCCCCTTTTTCTGTATCGCTAGACAACCACCCAAGTATCTAGCCCGACGCACGCGTGGTTTTTTCTGGGTGGGGTGGGGGAACAGCCCTCGGACAAGACGGGAAGTCAGCAGCTGGTGCCCCAATGGAAGTTTTCCAGAGCTTCGGTTGGCCGGATAGTGCGCTTCGCCGTCGACGGGAATGGATTGATAGGTGCGGTGGTGGAGTGGCTCCCACCCGAGCGTGATCACGAGGGCCTGAGTGGCAGTATGCAATATAGCATAGTATGGAAGGAAGGGGAGGAGGAGAGAGGAGGAGAGGGGGACGGCTTGGGGGAATTGGGACCGTGAGGCTTGCTGTCCCCAGAAGGTTGCTTTGGGCCGCTTTTTGCGCTGTCTCGCCAGGCCTGGCCTCCTGGCCTCCATGTCTGTCACGCTCTGAATTTTGCTTTTGCTCACTTCCCGTTGACCCTACCAGGTGGGTTCCCCACGGGAGGGGTGACCCAGGAGGTACCTACCGACCCTGGCCCCACCTCGTGTGGCAATATCCACTTGGGTACCTGCGCTGGCATTTTGTAGTCGCCAGGTATCTCCCTGGAGACGGCCAGGCTTCTGCAGGACGCCGCCACCCAGAATGCGTCCATTTTAGCAGAATGTAGAATGCCCAGGTCGTCTGGGCGCGGCTAGCCCGTGGGAGAATAAAAATCAAAAGCAAAAAAGTAAAATATGCGAGGGGCGGCTGCAAGTCGACTGAAGCAGCATGTACAAACGAGCAATGGATAGAAGGTCTCAATGGTGTGGGGGCAGGGCGGCAGCTGTGATTGGGTCGTGGCCGTTCGCAAGGGGCCAAAAGTGAACGAATTCAAAGAAAATGAGAAAAAGACGAGGGAAAATAGGCTCCAACAAACCGGGCGTGGCCCATCAGAGCGACCCAGGCCGCCACAGAGGAGGACAGCAGGGCAGGCGAGATTGGGCTTCCTATTTCGGGGTGCATGGTGGTGACGACGACAACGAAAGCATGGGGGCACACGGGCGGCGGCGTTATGTCGGGAGCTGCCCGTTCCAGCGTGCCAGCCTACTTCCCACCCCGGACAAGCTGAGGAAGGTCGCCCGGCTTGCCCTGGGAACGACATGTGGCTGCATGGCCTGATATTCGAGGTGGCACAAAATAATGGTACGGCCCTGGCTGACGGAGGCAGGCGGCGCAGAGGACACTGCAGAAAGGAAAAAAGGGGACAAACAAGGACACACAGGGCAGGGACAACAGGACAGGGACGTGAGTGAATGTGACAGAGTGCGGCTGATTGACGGGCGAGCAAGGGGAACGGCAAAGACCGACGGACGCACACAGAGGCACGACACTCGGTGGACATGCCGCCCCCTCTCTTTGCTGCCTTGCATTATTTGCTGGCACGTCGCAATCAATGTCGGTCCATTCTGCAAAACACAAAGTGCAGCATGCGAAGCTATCGTGAGGTGGGGAAGCGGTGACGGGGTCCAGTTGTTGACTCTACGTTACCTCGTTGAGCAGCCCAGCGTTGTGATGGCTTTGCTCGCTTGGTTGCGAGGCGGTGAGGAGATTGTCGTGCTCGTTTTTCGCCTCTGCCATGATTTCGTATGTTTTGTGACGGAGCCAGCTGTGAGCACAAGCTTCCATCCATTTGAGCACAGCTTGGACACACCTGGCTTCCATCAAACACTGGTTGAGCCCCATTTCAAGTTTCCACCGACTAGGTATTTCGGCCACCACGGATCAAATTTGACCCAAAGCAAAGCCAATCAAGCCATGGATCGGGGCGCTGCGCAATATCAGTCGCAGCGCAGCCACAGCAGAAAAAGGCCCAGGGGCACAGGCGCACAGGATGCCGCCACCCTAAAGGATCCTGTTTGACGTAGTTTGGCGTCGGCAAGTCCTACCCAATACTGGCCATGCATCACCCCCCAACCCGGCCAAGCGCAAGCAACTATCGCCTGATTCTGCCCTTTGCTCTCTGGGCGACGTAATTTCCACTCTAAAAGTTTTGCGGGTTTTGCCAGGGCCGCCTGCTTAGTTCCTTCTCTGGCGAATGTCCGAAGCCAGACGTGGCACGTGGCCCCTCTTTCCCTCCCGTGCTGCACCTGCCATTTGATGTAATCGCTCCCGAAACTTTGGGGCGCCGCTAAGTTTTTAATTTCCCTTTCCTTTCGTCCACCTATCGGCCTGCGTCCTGATGATGACATCTGGGAGCCGTCTAAGCTCCTTGGCACGGCTCCTTCGGCATCGTCACCGCCATCACATCCGGGCCCTTTTTTTTTTTTCTTTTTTTTTTTCCTATCTCTCTCCGAAGAGTCATACGACGGGAATCCCCGCCTTGATTGGCCCGCCCCGGGCCCCTCACCCATCGACAGACAGCAGAATGGGAGAAACCGGCGAGGCCCGAGGAGGGGAGAAGGGTGGCCCGCCCACGTTGTGGCTTCTCCCGGCAGGAGCCTATCAACAAGCCTTACTCTCCACCCCTCGTGACCCAGTCCTTGGGCTGTCGGTGCCGTCGATCCCCTGGGGTCCGTCGCCCTACCCCACTGATCTTCTTTCCATCTGAAACAGGGCATTCGGGCAGATAAGATCTCATTGGCGCCCCCCGGGGAAACGGCGCGAACAGGCAGCCAAGTTTGGGCCGACGATCAAGATTCGGCCGCCGGTTTCTTGTCGTGACCGGTTCCAGTCGCCCAAGCCTTGGTTCAAGCAAAGCCTCACTTGCCCTTGCCGGCGCGGTGCATTTGCTCCGCGCCAACCAAACGAAGTCGCCCCGTAGGGAAATCCCATCACACCGTGGTAGCATCGCGCAAAAAAAAAAAACCCCACCCGAGAAACTTTCTGCCGAGCCTAGATGCGCTAATGAGAGAAAATAAGGCGTGACGATGACTTCATGACTGGGCTGGTTGGGCGCCAGTGACCATCACAACCAGCCTTTCCCTCCGGACAAGCCCAGCGGCGCTTGCTGGCCGTCCATCGGAGCGTGGGGGGACGGTTTAGACTCCGCTGCCGCTGCCACCGGCCATTATTGAATGATAATACCCAATCAACGGTAGCATGGTAGCATGCGCTGGTTTTTGCCGCTCCACCATAGAACTTATCTGTTTGCTTGGCCGTTGGCCCTGACTCTTGACTCTGAGCAGCGGGAGCCACAGAAACGTCTCCGTCCCGCAGCGCCAAAGAACCACGGGACAGTTCTTTATTTGCACGTACGGTAACCGCGGCCAGGCCTATCCCCACTCGATATTATGTCGGCCTGCCCGATATGCCCGCTGTTTGCAGCTTCTCCATTCTCGTGTCCTTCTGCTCGGTTGTGACTTACCGGTCCGGGATATGCCTGCTATGCTTTCACAGACCCTCTTTTGATGCTTCTTGAAAGTTTTTCTTTTCATCACCGGGTGGATTTTTCCGCTGCTCGTCATCTTGTGTGCCTGGTAAGTACATCAAACCCCATCAATAATCGGTTTCCAGAGAAAACTCCGGCTCCTGAGCTCGGGATTCCCCGAAGCGGGAAGCCATGCTCGGATGAATGCAAGGCGTGCTCCTCGCGCAGGCCATCTCACATGCTGCATTACATATGTGCGTCACCAACACTTGCGCACATGTCCCCTAAGCAAGGTACCCTGCCTGCCTGCCTGCCTGCCGCAGACACAGCCGGCCTCTTGGCTTGCGAAGGGATGCCTATAGAAGGGAGAAGGAAGGCGAAGAAGAGGAAGGAAGACGAAGAAAAAAGCCGCACCCACCACGTATGCAGTCGGACCATGCGCCTTGGCGAGCGAACGGTCTGGCGGTCAAATGGGCGTGAGGCATCTCGACCCACATAGCCCTACGGAAGGGCTCACATGCAGACGCATACCTGCCTAACCACACCCGGGACGTGTGTGGAGGCGGGATAGGAAGGGCTGGGAGTCATCCTCAGTGAGCTTTTTTTTTTTTTTTTTCTTCTTCGGTCTGCGTCCGGGCATGCCATGTAACATGCTCGCCCGTTAGGGGGACACCGAGGGAGCGGGGGTCGGAAAAGGGATGAGAGAGGAGGGTCGGTTCCGGGTATGTGGGAGCCTTTGCTTCCTCACCCGTCGTCGTTTTTTTTTTCTGGGGGGATCTTCTACGCGCATACAGCTAGCGCCCCGTGATACTTATCAGGAACATCGACTTGGCTGGCGGTCAGCCTAGGTGTGCGTGTAGGTGGGTGTATGCTAGAACCACACATATGCACTTGGAGAAGCACAGAGGGAAAGCAACAGACGCTAGGTGGTGCTAGCTCACCGCCCGTCGCGCATGGTGAGTCTCTGCCGTCAGTTCGCCACTGACAAGCACGTCTGGGAAGCTGCAGAGTCCTTGGCACTTAGGGCTCTCCAGTCCGTCTAGCGGAAAGGGCGGCACTTTGCTGCTAGCCTGCGGACTAAGCCGAGGCTCGAACCTACACGCAACGCCGAACTTGGAAACGCTTGTAATCTCCCACGAAAGGCTCACTTCGGGAGATCCTATCTTCGGTAGAAGGAGAAACTGGGAGTGGTACCGTGGTCCCATCGTCTGCTTGTGAGTGGCTGGTCGCAACAGTAAGCAGCGGACCTAGGCTCTCGGGATTGTCGACTTGGCTGGGGGTGGTCAGATAGTGTGCACCGCGTCACACCACCCGATTTGGTTCCTCGAATTATGAATCCTGTTGCTTGTGATCTTGGTACGACTGCCTAGATCTGCTCGTAGGACAGATCTGCGGGTGGCCTCGCGACAGACTCAAGGCCGGGAGTTGGAGAGGACAGTGCAAAAGGGATAGATCCCTGAGCGCGCAAGGACAAGACGAAAATGAATGGAGCGTGCCTGATAAATGACACAAGGAGCACAACGAACCCAGTCAGCATGATTTGTTACTGCTGCCAGGGCTCCCGGAGCGGCGAGGCTATCGCCGACTCACGCCGGTTCGGCCAAGATATCGAATAGGGGGTTGTGATTTGAGCAACACTGGCCACCTCAACTGGGGAGCCTCAACCGACTGCCCGGGCTCGGCTGGCAAGGATATACCCACCTGGACTAAGTACTGTTCCTCAGGTGGGAAGGGGGAGTAGTTACAGTGCCCCCCTTCCCTTGCTGGGATCCCGTGTCCGCCCAGAAACCTATGGGGGCCTGCCCGCCCCGTGCCTTGGGGCCGACGGGAGGGACCGCTTTCCCGCCCCAGGTCTCGGAGCGCCCCGTGTCGTGAGACCTGGTGGGACCTGCTATGCGATGACCCGGCGGGAATGCGGGGATGGGGGAGCGGTTGGGGATCTACATAGGTGTATGTATATCAGGCCGTCGGTGGACGTCGGATCCCTAGGCTCGACCAAGAAAGCAGGGGTCGGGGTGGGTGGGATGGTAATTATTGACGGGATCAGGTACACTGTACCCATGATACCTAGATTCGCGTGTCAAGAACGCCTTGTCGTCGACTCGCGAACGGAAACGTGATGACGACGGCAGATCCCAATCCTGTTCCGACCACACCAGCTGGGCGCTCAACTACCTACCTTTACGGTTCAAGTGTACGCGGCCTCACCGCAGCTCACGAGCGCCCCTTTAAAATATCATGTATCGAGGGCCTTGTATACGCTGACAGTGTCGATCCTAGCGGAAGCATATCCGCTTGGCGGCGATGATAGGTAGTCCACTGGTTCGGCCTTCCCTACTCCAAATGACTCTCCTGTTTGCACATGACGGCTTCCTTCTGGAAATGCCGAGCAGATGTACGAGCGCGCATCTGTCGACGCCAGATGGAGTCAATATCTCGACAGTGATGAGACGTGTTGGTGAGAAACACAAGGAATAACCTTTCGACGATAAATTAGCTATCGAGAGGATTAGCTGCGCCTCGACGACATCGCGTCGACGCCGTCGGGGTGCAGGATATGACAGAGAAGGATCAGAGTATTGAAACGCCAAGAACTAGGTTCGATGGGATCACGGTTCGGACAGGCACCTTCGCTCTTCAAGTGACGTGAGTAGCGGGTAGGGTTACGCCGGTCCTGCTCGGAACATGTTAAAGCTCGGCCGATGCTACGCCATGTTGGGTTTGCGCGTTTATCACCGGGCGCTTACGTCGTCCCCATCACTCGATAAGGACCCCGGCCATGCGAATCTGCACGTCAGGAGGGAGGTAGGCGCTAAGCGGGGCATGTGTCTATGTGGGCAAGACACTGGCCGTCGCCAAAGTCCCTTGGTAGATATAGGCTTGCGGTAAAGACATCCAGAAGGGCTCTGCGTGATGGTCGAGAACGAGATACGTCGAAGCGGCACAAGGCCCCTGCCTTGCGGAAGCGAGTGGTGCATAAGCGCAGGGCCAATCAGGCTGCACGTCACACTCAACAAGGAGCGGCCGCAGAAAAGGCCACCCCAGAATGCACGACGCAAGACATGAATCCGGCAGCGCGGCGTACTTGTAGACCGGCTATCCAGTCGGAAGGCCTTGGGGTGCCCGCAGGAATGGCCGCCATCAGATGTCGGTAGGGACCGCGCATCCGCGGGCCGGCAAGGGTCGAACACAGGCCATCGGTCGGCTGGCGGCACAGCGCTGGGGCTTGGAGCTGGGCGGGTGGGAAGATGCATACTGTGCGTTGCCGCCCCATTGCTATTGAGGCAGGAAGGTTCTTGTTCAAGGATGTTGTTGGCGTCGGCGCAATTGACCGAAAGCCTAACATGGGTGGCGCCAACGAAGGGCGCCTTGGGCTTTGAGGTCAGACGCGGCTCTAACTGGTTGCCACCCTTAGTCCAGGGGGTTTCCGTCCCCCATAATTCCACGTCTTTCGATTGATGCTTTTGGCTTTTATGAGCTGGGTTCATAACTAGTCTAGATGGCGGTATCATGATTGAGGAAACGCTGATGGTGTCAGCACTCGGAAGCGGTCCCAACCAAGAGATGCATCGCGACTTGGTGGGCCGAGACGCATAGTGTGGCGGGCGGCTAATTCGCAGGGGCTGGAAGAGGATGATGCAACGCATTGATAGAGGAGCAAAGCTGTAGGACGACCACGTCAAGTTGCTGGGCATCGCGAACTCCATCATAACTCTGTAACTCCATGTCTCCATGTGCTCGACTGGCGGTCGCCCGGCGCGCTAATGTCGGGCTAGCACCCTGCAGCACTCGTCTGTGCTTGTCACGGTGGGTTCGAGCTGTGTCGCCGAATGGCAGCCCTCGGCTGTGCTTTCTCTGGTGCTGGCGGCAATTTGCTCAGTCTTGGCAGGGCCGTCCCGCCACTGGCTGACGACCGGAGGGGAATGAGAGGAGAGTGTCTGCGGGCGGTTACGTGTTGTGTGGGTGTTCGGTGCTGATGGCGCCCACTTTGGTCGAGAGTCGAGTGCGTCTGTCAGACGGGTTCTGCCAGCAGTTGATGCTTAGCCTGGGTTGGCGCACATGCAGGCTCACAATCTGCGTTTAGCTTTTGGCCCCCCGCATCTCACCACATCCTTAGGTGCAGCGCACCAGACGGCCACCACCCCGCTTTGCCTCGTCGTGGCAGGCACGACACACCACCACCACCACGGACAAGCACCTGAACGATTGAAGTCGCACACCGCAACCGCCTGCGCCTCCATCAAGCACAGGCACAGCCGACAAACGCCCAATCCCTGCCCGAACACCACTGGCGCCGGCCCATCCCACTCCCACATCCTGATCTGCCGAGGCGGAACAAGCCCAAGCCCGTCAGACGTGCCTTGCGGTTGCTGTTGTTGTTGGGCTCGGGCGACGCACCCGTCAAACTCGGATCAGCATTACCCAAGCAGGCTGGCAGCTGCTTCCGATCCGTCGACCTCGCTCCACCAACCAAAAAAACACACGGCGACATCCAAAACCGCACATCTGCGTGACACGCCCGGAACCCCTTCCCCTGCCTTCGCAGCCCTTCCAAACCTCGAGTCGCCCATCCTCCATCGCCCGGAACCCGCCTCTGGACTACTGTACCGCGCTCGCGCACCCAAAGGCCGAGGGCAGTGTGCCCCGCCGCCGCCGACAAGATGACGCAGGCGCCCATGATATCGGTGCCGCTCAAGGCAACCAACGAGATTGACTGGGTGGCCCCGCTGAAGAACTATATCCAGAACACGTACGGCGACGATGCCGAACGCTACGCCGAGGAGTGCGCCGCCCTCAACCGTCTGCGCCAGGACATGCGCGGCGCCGGGAAGGACAGCACCGCCGGCCGCGACTTGCTCTATCGATACTATGGCCAGCTCGAGCTGCTGGACCTGCGCTTTCCCGTCGACGAGCAGCACATCAAGATATCATTCACATGGTGAGTTGCCTACCACCGCTCGGCACGATGGAAGCACCAAGTACTCCCCACGCTGACTTACACATGCGCAACTCGCCGCAGGTTCGACGCCTTCACACACAAATCAACATCCCAGTACTCGCTGGCGTTCGAAAAGGCATCCATCATCTTCAACATCTCGGCCGTCCTCTCGTGTCACGCCGCCCACCAGACCCGCTCCGAGGAGCCGGGCCTCAAGACGTCTTATCACTCCTTCCAAGCCTCGGCCGGCATGTTCACCTACATCAACGAGAACTTCCTGCACGCACCTTCGTCCGACCTCAGCCGCGATACCGTCAAGTCTCTGATAAGCATCATGCTGGCCCAGGCGCAGGAGGTGTTCCTGGAAAAGCAGATCACAGACCAGAAGAAAGTTGGCCTCCTGGCCAAGCTTTCCAGCCAAGCGCATTCGCTGTACTCGCAGGCTATCGATGGCATACAGGAGAACGTCAATAAGGCCATATTTGAGAAAGTATGGCTAATGTTTGTGCAGGTATGTTGCTGCGGTTGTGCGACCCTACTTTTCGACTCGGGTGGGACGTGGCTGCCCTCGCCCGTGCGGGCCTTTTCTTTGGCCATGTTTGTCACAAAATCAACCGGTGGACGGAAATCTTGCGAGCTTTTCCATCTTTTGCCTACAAAGTTTGATGCTAACTGTAGTGCTAGATCAAATCTGCCCTGATGAACTCAATGGCACAGTACTACCAGGCTCTGGCAGACGACGATGCCAACTCCCATGGCGTTGCTGTTGCCCGCCTGCAAGTCGCCGAAAGCGCCGCCAAGGAGGCCAGCAGGATCGCCGCCAATTTCCCCGGTACCGTTCCGCCCAACTCCAACCTCACCAATGAAACGGGCCCACTCCTATCCGAACTCGCCAAGAGGCAACTATCTGCTGTCCAGGTGAAGCTTGGGGAGTTCACCAAGGACAACGACTTCATCTACCACCAAACTGTGCCGGCAGAGGCAAGTATCTCGCCGGTTCCGAAGCTGCCGGCGGCCAAGCCGATCCCGGTTAGTGAACTGTATGCTGGGCAAGATATCCAACGCATTACAGGCCCCGACCTATTCGCCAAGATTGTACCGTTTGCCGTCACAGAATCCGCAAGTCTGTATGATGAAGAGAAGGCAAAGCTGGTCAGGGCCGAGACGGAGCGGGTGGATCTCGCCAATAGTGAGATGGCGGCGAGCCTAGACTATCTGAGGCTGCCGGGGGCGCTGGAGGTGCTCAAGGGAGGCTTTGACCAGGACGTATCGCCCGATGAGGATTTTCGCACTTGGTGTGTGGACGTGGCCGATCACGAAGATCCGAACTCCATTTTCGATTCTCTCAGGACGGAGAAGGAGCAGATACTGGCACTGTTGGACCGCAGCTCAAAGCAACTGGATATGGAAGAACACGTATGCGAGAAGATGAGGTCAAAGTACCAAGACGACTGGACACAGCAACCGAGCGGGAAGTTGACGGCGACGCTGAGGGGCGATCTGCGGAATTACCGCGAGGCGCTGGACGAGGCAGCAAAGAGCGACGGACAACTAGCGACGAAGCTACGGCAGAACAGCACCGAGATCGAAACGATGCGCACGGCGGCGCAGCACGGCGAGATCGATGCTATGTTCCAACAAGCACTGAGCAGGGTCAAGGGAAAGTCGAGCAATACCAACAGTCCGGGCGGAGCTGGCGAGCAGAACCTTTTGGACGCCGACTTTGATGACGGGAAGTTGAGCGTTATGGATCAAATCAACCGGGTCGAGGAGATTCTCAAGAAGTTGAATCAGCTGAAGAGGGAACGAAACCACGTGCTCAAAGACCTCAAGGACAAGGTAAGGACCACGTGCCATCTGAGATGGAGCGGGCGCGACAAAGGACGAACTTGCTGACGATTTGTGACGATGCAGGCGCATAACGACGACATCTCCCAGATCCTGATCCTGAACAAGAAGTCGATAGCAAACTATGAGCAACAACTGTTCCAGTCGGAGCTGGAAAAGTTCAGGCCGCTGCAAACACGGCTTGTACAGGCCGGGCACAAGCAGTCATCGCTGATGAAGGAGCTTTCGGGCACATTCAACACGCTCCTGCAAGACAAGCGAGTCAAGGCGGAGCAGAGCAAGTACGAGTCGGTCCAAAGACAGCGCAGCAGCGTAATAAACCGGTACAAGCGCGCGTATCAGGAGTTTCTGGACCTCGAGGCAGGTCTACAAAGCGCAAAGCGGTGGTACGGCGAGATGAGGGAAACGGTCGAGAGCCTCGAAAAGAACGTCGAGACATTTGTCAACAACCGGCGCTCTGAGGGCGCACAGCTGCTGAACCAGATCGAGCAGGAGCGGGCGGCCACCAAGTCGTCACACGCGGAGCTGGAGCGCGAGAGGTTGAGGGAGCTCATGGAGCGCATGAACGTTGAGGGTGGCCAGCAGACGCCGGCATCCCCGCCAAAGCAGGCGGCAGGCGGCTCGGCCCGGCCGATCCCTGCGCCTCTGTTCCAGACTGGTGGGGCGCCGAGGTATCCGCAGGCGAACTTCCAGGGCCAGTACCAGATCCCGACCTCTCCGCCGCCGCAGCAGGCCAACATGCCACAGTCGTTTATGCAGCCGCACCAGCAGTCGCACCAGCAGCAGCACATGCACCAGCAGTCGCAGCACCACTTCAGCCAGCCGGCCTCGTACAACCCGAGCCAACACGGGCGGATGCCGGGCCCGACGTCGCCGGCTCCAACGCAGACCACGTTTGGTATCAACGCGATGCGGCAGGGGCCGGCGTCGCCCCCGCCAACGCAGTCGACCTTTGGGCAGCCGCGGCCCTTTAGCACATATGGAAACCCGAACCCGCCGTCGACTCCGAATCAGCAGCAACACTTCGCCCCGGCAGGATATGTGCCCCCACCCCCTCCCGGGCCGCCGCCGCTGGGGCCGCAGCAGACGTATCATGTGCCGCAGGCGGACTTTCACAACAGGCCAAACTCCGGGCAGCAGCAGCACCAGCAACAGCACCAGCAGCAGCAGTCTGCGGATCCTTGGGCGGGACTCAACGCATGGAAATGATGAGGGAGTGGGGTTGTTTGATAAAGCGCGTTCATCGTGTTGAAAACCTTATTCATTCCTAAATAGCACTATGGAAGAAGATTACATGGAAGAAATCGCCTTGCGGGGAAATGGGAGTTATTATTTGTCGCCGCTAGAGAATTCAAGGGGAGTCGCTCTTGACACTGTTGCCTGGACCACAACAAGGCCAAGTATGAGCCGGAGGTCAAAGTTTTGACTTTTATGCACAGCGACCATGGCTAGGTATTTCTGTATAGGTCATGGCATCTCGCAAGACTGTCATCTCTCTGCTCGATGATTTTTTTATCTGCTCGGCCGCAACCAGTGCAATCCCGGGCATCTGTTGGCAATCGCCTGCATCTTGGCCTGGTCGACCTTGTCCCTGCCCACGTAACACGTGGCGTCGGGACCTCGGTCTCGGTCGAATACACGCCGTGCGCGATGCCGTCCAGCACGCGGGCCATGCCCTCGTCCGTCCGCCGCTCGTACCGCACGCCCCAGTCGTGGAACCCGGCCAACCTGGCCAACCAATCGCCGTCCTTATCGGCCCTGTCGGCACCGCGCACTATGCCCCCCGTAGTCGTAGACGGACCTGAACTGCAGCGTCCCGCCGCCGTGCCTGTCGTCCGGGACCACCAGGGCGCCAACGCAGCGCCGATCGAGCCCCTTGCTCCTGCGGCAGGAAATGCCGCCGCGAGCTCCCGCACGGCGGGCAGAGCCACAGGCGCCGGCGGCGCGCGGACCCGGTAGTCGCCGCACGAGAGGAGCGTGAAGGCGGTCGAGGTTGGGAGGAACCGCGCGCGGACGGACGGACGGACGGCAGGACGGGCACCCCACAGGGCTCTGCCGCTTCCCGCCCTCCGACTGGGCGGCGGCGGCGGCGGTTGCCGGGCGGAGGTACGCGTTGCTTGAAACTCGGGCTCGGTAGACGCGCGCGCCGTCGAGCCGCGCGAGGAGCCGCTCGAGTAGGTCGGCGGGCGCGTCGGCGCCGTCGAGGAGGCGGGACGCTCTCGGGGTGTAAGGCCAGCTGGCGGGAGGCTGCGCCAGGCCATGGGCGTTCCGACGGCCACGTGGCGGATGGTAAGTTGGGAGGACTGCTGCTGTTGCTGCTGCTGTTGCTGCTGCTGCTGCTCCTTTTCGGCCCTCCCGCTTCTTGCTCGCACAGGGACTTAATACAGCAGCGGATGACGGCCGTGCTGCCACCGAAGCCGACGGTGTCAAGGGGATGACCTGACGACATCAGTCGTCCAACAACTTGATCTTGAGCGCGCGCAGGCCGCCGGCCAGGCACCCGGCGGCGCGGCGCATGTCCGCTGGGGGTGGGGAGCATCGCGCCCCCTGATGGGGCAGAGGCGGAAGGTGATGGACAGGGACCGCACAGGCCCTGTCGTCCGGGTTGGCCGTCGCGGCAGCGACCGCGAGCACGATGGCGACGGCGTCGGTGGGGGTGCAGCCACCGCTCGTGCTGCGGCGGCTCCCGTTTGAGCTGCTGCTCCTGCCGCGCGAGGCGGGATCTGGCCAGGCTTGCCGCCGTCGGCGCCGCGCGTCAAGTCGTGCGGCCTGGCCGTGGGGGGCTTGCCGTCGCGGTCGTCCTCGTGGCGGGGGACTCCACGGGGAGATGCACAGGCTGCGGACGCGGTGGCGCAGGCGCTCGCAGCACCTGACGGCGCGCAGCCTCGCCAAGGCTGCCGCGCGTCAGGTCCCGTCTCCATGGCGCCGAAGAAGCGATCTGCGAATGGCGCTAGGGCCGCGGCCGAGATTTACCGGTTGGCCTGCCGGATCGTGATGAGGTCGGGCGCGTCTAGGTAGCCGGCAAACTGGATGAGCAGCTCGCCGCTGAGCGACGTCAATCCAGCTCGAGGCGGCGCTATCCTGCTGCGGGGGAGATGAGCGGGAGGGGAGACTAGAAGTGGAGGATACGAGAAATGCGGGAGGTAAGCCGTAGAGATTGTTGGGAATATTGAAGCAGACCAACGGCGTAAATTCAAACCAGGGACTCCACGCATTGTACGTAAAACATGCCCGAGGCGAAATGCCTTCCCTCCACGGCAATCATGGCTTCCACTTCTAATCATCCCCCTCCCCATCACACGTGAGCCATTCTCTGATCCCCTCGAGTGGCAACTCAGGAAAATGGTCCATTTGATATACCTCAATCCATTCCATGACCTCGTCGAGATAGCGGTTCGTTCGAGGGTCACATTGACCCACCTCATCCATGATGCGAGGGAGCCAAACGACGGCGAGAAATTCAGGAAACGTCGTCATAAGCCTCTCCTGATACTCCCAGGCCAGCTCTTCTAGGAGGCTTTCGAATCGGGTGATTGATTCTTCCTCCTCGTCGTGGATTCTTTCAATCTCCACGGCTTCAATGACCGGCAGCTCGTGGTTGAAATCCTCCACGTCCCAGTAGTAGGGATTGCACAGAAGCGGGCAGGTGTGGGTAAGCTCGAGTGCCCCAAAGGTCAGCGCCCGGAGGACGTCGGAGGAATGCTCCTCCAGTAGGCCGTCGAGATGACATGCCTCGAGGATCATCCTGAGATGGGTTCCTCTTTGCCCGAACTGCCGAAAGGGGATGAATATCGACGCAGACCCAATGCAGAAGCAACTGAATCTGGCCGGGGGTGGGTGAGACCAGGAGGTACATCTAAGCTGGCTGGGCTTCTTGGGACTGTACCACTTGTCGGCACAGCCGGCTGCTAAGATGTAGACAGCTTGCAAGCAGTCGATTCCAGTAGGGAGATCCAGGCGTGGGTTCTTGGACCACAGCCAGTTTCGAAGATCCCATTCCCCGCGGTCCGAGGGGGGTGATTGGCGTAGAATCGGGAAGACTCCGTTATATCCTTCGTCTAGTTTGAGAAGTCCATTGTCCCAGAGGCTTTCGGCCATCGGCACATTGAGCCCCGCCAGGTGTCCAAAAGGTTTGTGAGGTATCGCGCTACTGATTCTGATCGGAATTCGGACACCCTTTCCCCTAAGCGCCCGCGCAATAGTGTTGAACACCTCAAGAGAATGGGGAAACTGAGCTAGCTGTGTGTTGCTTGCGCAGCCATTCGCGATCCCGAGACGGACCAATTCCTCGAGGCGGGCTCGGCACGCCTTGGCAAACCACGGGATGTCGACCTGGTCCCGCGTCCACCTGCCCACGTCAAGCAGTTTGATAGCCGGCTCCAAGGACGCCCCAGATTTGGAAAGCGCTAGCGGTACTTCAGGATCAGTCGTCTTGAGCGCATAGTACATGGCGGAATGCCCCGAGCAATCTTTGTGATCGATGATGTTGCCGATATATGTCGAACAGGCCAGTAGAAGCGCAAGGACAGCAGGCCGTAAGACGGCAAGATGTAGCGGGGTCTGGTCTAGGTCGTTCTTCTCGGTGGCCAAAAACTCCGGTGAGGTGTCTAGGATCGATCGTACCCTGTCCACGTCGCCTTTTGCGCACGCGATAGTCAAGGGACGGTCGGAAGAGGTGACTGTTCGCGACAAGACTTTTGTTTAGCTGCCAGAAACAGGTAGTAGACGAAGGGAGGCATCATCTTCCAGAGAGAGCAGCTTACTTTGAGTGCACCATTCAAATCGAGTTTGCAGAAATATGCTTGTCGCACCGGTACACCAGATTTTAGGGTCACCAAGCGCATCCGAGAAATGGAATAGCTCTACGAAATCGGCAATGCTAAGCGCCGGAACCGAGGTTAAACTGATGTATCCGAGCTGGGATAAATCGAGTATGCGATCGAAAATGGTCTCGGCCGGCATGCTATTGGTATGACAGGCTCGGATTGTGAGTATCTGGCCCAAGGGCGGCCTCCTGAGAAATCAGCCGACCAACAGGAAAAGGTAGGGAAGCAGGTACTTACCGGCCGTGATTATTAGTTTGCCATCGGGGTACACCCATCTTGAAGAGCACGGGTGCCAGGGCCTTGAGCTGACCTGGAATGCCGCCCATCCCACTAATGCTATAGATTAAGTAGTGAGTGCTGAGGGCGAGACAAAGCGCCTTCATTTCGAAGCATCATCAGCACGTAGCCCAATTAATCACGAGATATTTGGCAGTTACAATAGATGGGGTCATGAACAAGCTTACGTGTAACAAATTGTTTCCATCGGGGTCGACGTCGGTTGGCGAAGCTTCTCCCCTTTGGAACAGCTCCGACAGTTGCCTCTCCAGTTGGCGAACGGAGTCATCTGCCAGTTCAACGAGACGATAACTCCATCTGGTCCGGAAATTATTGACCATTTGAAAAGCTGGACTGTCAGACAGGACAACCGATGTAAATGACAGCTTCGGATCGATGTGCAACTGCTTGAGCCAGTAAAAAGGCGAGTTCTCGACCTCGATTGGCCCGTACACGGCGAAGCCGAAAGCTGAGAAGTTGACACGGAACGTTCGCCTACGCCGGCTGAGATACCACAGAGGACAGTCCCGATGGTGCACAACAGACTCCTCGGACTGCAGCCACAAAGATCCAAAGTATCGTCGTGGCTGGGACACCTGCACTTGCACTTGAGCAGTGCACGTGCAGCCTCTTTCAACAGCCTGAACCGACCCGGGGCTGATGCCATCGGCAAGCCTTGGTCGACGCTCGCGAGTCGGTCGCCGACGGAAGCCAGAAGCAGCGTGTGTGCTGCCGTTGGGGAGCGCGAGAAGGCTGCCGCGCTGGTCTGTTGTGTGACTGTCGGAGCCCTGCGTCGCCGCAATGGCCGTGACCGGGCTTGCCACGTAGAGGTCCTGAAAAGGCTGTCGAGAAGCGAAGGCAGCTTGCAGCTTTTGGCTGAGGCGGTTTTCGATAGCCTCAATCAGAGCCTCGGAATGATGGTGCTGGAACGAAAGTGCTCTCGCCTCAACAGAGTCTAGTCTCTGCAATATCACCTCTTGTGTTCGCTGAGACTGCCCAGCCCCCGCCTCTATGATGGCAGCGACATTGCTCTGCCCGGCCGATATGATGCTTGCATCTGTCCTGGATGATGCGGCGTTGATATTCTGCACAAGGGCGTCTTGGCTCTGAATGACGGTGTCTCGAGTATCTTGGACGACTCTGGTGGCTTGAGTCGACGTGGCTGTTAGGAAGCGCTGCTCGAGACCTGATAAGCTGGAGGAGGTTGCGATGTTCACGGCATCCATTTTGGCGGCTAGCGTGTCACGTAGCTCGCTAATACCGTCGCTGAAATATGTGAAGGCCAGAATCAGCAGCCCGACACGCTAGCGCAACACATCGTTGCAGACTTACACCTGAAAGAGTTGAAGCAACAGCACGAGGCTGTTTTTGTAGCGCTGGCAAGCCTGCTGAAGCTCCATGAGACTCTCCCTGCGCATGGGGTATGTCCCGGCCCGCGCGAGCCTTTTGATCCTATCCGCCAAGCGCGCTCCAGCCGGCGCAGGTGCGTACTTCTCGGCCAGCTCGAGTATGCACGTTGCCGCGGCCTCGCAGGATGTGATCCTCCCCTTGATAGCCGTCTTTGTGGCTGTCGATGCGGCGCTTGTTGATGTTTGTGAGGTGGCTTGAGCGAGACGCGCCTCGATCAGCTCAACGACCGACTTTAAATCGTCTGCTGTTTCGCGCAGCTGGTGCAGGTCCGCAGACTTGCCGGCGCACGCATTGATGTACTTGTATATGCCATCGCAGACGGTGAGGCCAAGCGAGACGAAGCCGGCGCCGGCGGCCGCCAAGGACAAGGGATCCGACATATTGGGCACCTGTCTGGTGTGTGGGGAAAAGAAAGATCAAGGGCCGCTGAATGGATCAAACTGGATGGATCGTATACATGCCGACCAAAAATGGGTGGGTGCCCAGGTCGAGCAGTCGACGGCTGGGGGGTTCGCCTGGGCGGTGGCCCGACTTGTTCGAGAGAGAGGAGACAGCAAGAAAAAGGAGGGGGTTGTGAGCAGAAGATAAGGCTACATGCATCAAAGGCGGACAGAGACGCGGGGCCAGGGCGTCAGTGTGGCTGAGCTTCGTGTGTTACCATTAAAATGCACTTCTTGCCACGACAACGGGCTGCTAGCTTTGTCTACTTTCCCCAACGACGCCAATCTCGATCACGTTCTGCCTCGGTGTTCTCAACCTATCCTTGTTGGGTACCGATGCATAATTCTGATAGCGAATAACACGGCAGGTGTTTCGTTGAAGGGGGTGACGCAAGCTCAAGAGGATTCAAGGAGATATAAATAATTCCATGGATAACCACTACCGGAAGCGACCAGACCGGTTGGGAATGACGGGTGTTATGGGGTGGTTCGAAGGAATGATGGCAAGCATTAAATCTCAGGAAAGGTAGTTAATAAAACAGTGAATGAAGAAGGATGTCAAAGACTGGAAGGGCTTATAATGCGGCTTTGTGAAGTAGAAGGGGTGGTCGTGGATGGGGTGGTGAAAGGTACCTTGCCCACCCTACCTATTTTGTGCACAACTGCAAGCGCTTCACCTGCCCTGCGTGTATCATCAATTTTCCATTTTCCCCACCGCCGTCACGTTTTCCTGTCAAGTACTCACATAGAGAGAGGTAAGGCTGCGACAGCGGGGGGTGCAAAAGGTCATAGTGGTTAGTGCGATGCTGTCGCCAGGACACAGCGCTCGGGGGTGGTGGTGGTGTGGGGTGTGATGATGGCTGGCTGGCCTTGCCTCGCCTCGGTTGGTTCACGTTCTCAGCTGCGTTTGGCGCCAGATTTCTGGGACAGTTCGCTGTCTCCAAGGGCTCTGCCTTGGGGAATCCAAAGCAATGATGCGTCGCACCGAGAATTCGTGAGCAATCCGCGCCGCGCGCTCCATTCTTCGCAACCAACACCCACGGCAGATGCTGCGCCTCAACACCACAGCGGCTGCCGCTGTCAGCCGGCCAAAGCACACCAAGGGCGCTTTGTTCCCTGACGGCCAGCACCTTGGGATCCGGGTCCTTCACGCGCCGGCGGAAGCTAGCGTCGACATCATCTTCATCCACGGCATCACCGGCCATCCGTACAAAACCTTTGCTACCCATGAGAAGACGCCCATTTACTGGCCCACACAGCTTTTGTCACGCGACATCCCCACGGCGAGGGTTCTCGCATTTGGCTACAATGCCGACGTCGTCAAGTTCTTTGGGCCGGCCGGCCAGAACAACATTCGGGAGCATGCCGCCACCTTGATCAGTGATGTTGCCGCAGTCAGGGGCGAGGACCGGTCGGTACGTATACGTGTCGCCCATCATGCTGTGTTCTGATACCACATACTAAAGCGCATCAAAGACGACGCGCCCAATCATACTCGTCGTCCACAGTCTGGGCGGGCTGGTCGTCAAGAAGGCCCTCTGCATCTCAGAGCTGGCCGCAGAGCCACACGAGAGGCAGCTGCACCAGACGGTGCTCGGCGTCGCCTTTCTGGGGACACCCCACCGCGGCTCCGACCTCGCCCCTTTCGCCAGCGGCGTCGCCCGCATCCTCAAGGCCTCGGGCACCAGGACCAATGTGGACATCATCAGCCTTCTGCGCCGGGACTCGGAGGCTCTCGCCGATATCGAAGCCGCGTTCGGCACGTGGCTGCGCAAGAACCTGGAATTCAAGCTAACGTGCTTCTTTGAGGAAAAAGAAGTCGTCGGGTGCGGCATGGTTGTCAGCAAGGACTCGGCCAAGATCAGCGGCTACCCGCAGCTTCCAATTCCGGCCAACCACATGGACATGGCCCGTTTCGAGAGTGCAAACGCCACCGGCTACCGCCGTATCCTTGGTGAGCTGAGACGATGGCTTCGCGAGGGAGAAGACGAGGGCCAGGGAAACAACGGCACGAGCGCAGGAGACGCCCTGGATTTTGCAGGTTGTATGGAGACCTTGTCTTTCCCCGAGATGAACCACCGAGGCGCAGATATCGAAAATGCTGCCGAGGGAACATGCAAATGGATCGTCGACCACCCCGTCTACAGCCAATGGTCTACCAATGGCCAAGGGCTCCTTTGGGTCAAGGGGAAGCCCGGGTCCGGCAAGTCGACTCTTATCAAGTACATCATTCGGCAGCTCCAGGGAACCACTTCTACGCCTACTTTGAACATCACCTTCTTTTTTCATGGGCGAGGCACTGAGCTGCAGAAGTCTTCTATTGGGCTTTTCCGAGCCTTGCTACACCAGATTGGCGACACTTATCCGAGGGCAATCCGCGGACTGATCAAGCAGTACCTCAAGTACCGCGAGGAGACCACCTCTGCATGGTCCTGGCGCACGCAGGACCTCGAGGACCTGCTCATTTCAGAAGCGATCCCGACTCTGCTTCAACGCACAAACCTCTCCATCTACATTGACGCACTGGACGAGTGCGGGGAGGCTGAGGCGCGCCGGCTGGTTTCCTTCTTCTCCCGAGCGTACGATCGTTCTTCTTCACATGCCTTTCGACTCAGCATCTGCTTTTCCTGCCGCCACTACCCTATCATAGCTCCTGATATATGTGAGCAGATCGTGGTAGAGTCGGCCAATGACCATGATATCTCGACCTACATCAACCAGACCCTCTCTCAGCACGTACAGGATGAGGAAGAGCTCAAATCCCTGCGTCAGGAGCTCGAGAGTAGGGCCCGGCAGGTGTTTTTGTGGGTGGTGGTTGTTCTTCCCAACATCACACGGCTCTACAGCGAAGGACAGACGCTACAACAGATACTGGAGTACATCAAGGGGATCCCGCCTGAGCTACACAGTCTCTACAAGAGCCTTGCCAAAGAGCTATCGGAGAAGAGCGGGCCCGACTCAAGTCGGCTTTTCCAAATCATCTGCTACAGCAGAGAGACCTTGAGCATATCGGACCTTCGTATCGCTTTCAACTACGCAGGGGGCCCGGACTCTGCAACCAGGACCCTTGAAGAATGGACAGTGCTTAGTCCCGTCAAGACTAATAACCAGATGCGGAAGAAACTGCGATCCTTGTCTGCTGGCATGGCGGAAGAAACCCCCTCGGGGGTTCAGTTGACTCATCAGACCGTGCAGGATTATCTGGTTGAGCAAGGCTTCTCCATGTTGAGTGGTGTCGAGGGTCGATCTCCCAGCCAGCTGCTAGGCGAGGCCAATCACATGCTGGCAAGGACCTGCCTTCTATATCTGGTATCGTTGGAGAAGCCTTTGAGTTCCATCTGGCATCGTCCTGCCAAGGACATCAAACTGGCCCGCCGTAAGATAGGTGTGGCGGAAGGTCTGGAACGGTCTGTTCAGCTTGCGTCCGCTTTGTACCCGCTTCTCGGCTACTCGGTGAGGCACTGGCTTGCGCACACGTCCCTTGCCGAGGCCTCGGAGATAACCCAAAACGACATTGTGCAATACTTGGGGCCCTCGGGCCAGGAGGTCGTGGCTTTCTGGTCCGCAGTCGCCGTTTCGGACCACATCGAACGGCTCGAGTCGGGCCAGCCGACCCAGGGCGAGTTCAGGGAGCCGCAGAGAACGACTACGCTGCTGCACGAGTCCGTCAAGTACAACATCGAGAGCTTGGCTTGGGAATTGCTGGGCGTTCCCTGGATTTCCTATTTGGCCGATTCCAACGGCAGGCTGCCTCTCACCTACGCCATCTGGGGCGCGTCAGATTCCATTGCCAAGCTCATGCTGCTTCACCATGAGAAGATGGAACACGACATTAATTCGGAGCTTCGCAGCGGCGAGATGGCCTTTACGGCTTTTCAGCTGGCTCTCGGGAACGGGCGTGAGAAGCTTTCTCTGGAGATCGCTTCTCGGCCCTCGTTTTTGCTGCCAGACAACATGGTCGTGAACGAGCAACTAATGCTGCCCGAGAACACAATCTTTTCCTTGAGCTCAAAGTCGCTCGGAAATGGCTGCACGGTGCTCGATATTGCTGTCGCGTTCGGGTTTGACGACGTGTGCGACTATCTGCTCGCAAATCTGCCCCGAGACTCGGCAGATACACCCGATACTCCCCATCTTTGCATGGTCGCAGTGCAGCACAAGCAGATGGGCATGCTCCGGAGATTCCTCAGCATTGTGACACCGTCGGAGAAGCTCGCTTTCAGCTCCGGCGGCAAGAACGAGTTGATTCTCAACAAGGCTGTTGAGACATGCTTCCATGAAGGTATCGACCTTTTGCTGTCATGTGGCTTTGTGGCCCTGAACGGTCTCACCGAACATCGCGGAAATCAGTCCCCACTGCACATAGCTGTTGCTCAGGGGGATCAGCATAGCATGCAACAACTGCTGTCCCACGTGGGCGTCGATGTCAACACATGCTTAGGGTACCTCTCCGTCACACCGCTCCTTCTGGCCATAAAGCTCGGGTTCTCGGACGGGGTCGCGATCCTGTGTTCGTGTTCCAGAGTGGACCCGAACCTCAATGCTCACCCTTGGCCGCGGCCGGTTGAGTTGGCCGCGCAGATGGGTGATGTCGAATCATTGGCCGTTCTGCTCAACCGTGCCGACCTCCGAGTTGACTTTAGGGACTCCAAGTCGCAGTCGATACTGTGGCATGCCATCAGCAAAGGCCAGAGCGATGTCGCGCGCTTGCTCTTGGCCGAAAGACGCAGCGAATTTGTTTACCTGCGTGACCAGTTCGGGATGCTGCCGTCGCTAGCGCGAGTCGACCAGGACGTAATCGACACGGTCGAGGGGCTGAGCACAAGCAACCAGTGGACGCCCTGCGACGCAACCTTTGGGATACACTGGCCGGAGGAACGCTCGCAGTTTTCCTCATACGTCGGCATAGCCACCCACTACGACAGCGAGGGCAACACGTTGCTGATGTGGGCCGTCATAAAGGGCTGGGACAAGGAAGCCATCGCGATGATTAACATGGGCGACTACGGAACCGGCACGAAAGACAACGAGGGCCGCTCGCTGCTGATGAACGCTATAAGATGCGGCAATCTCAAGATCGTCCGCTGGCTGCTGGCCCAGCCTGGCATTGACGTGAGCCAGACCGATTGCGCAAACAGGAATGTAATGTGGTACTGCGACAAGTACATCGTCGCGAGCGGCCTCCGCAGCCTCGTCTTTGCAAAGTTCAAGGCCGCCTCCGATGCCGGAAAACACCAAATGGCGTCTCCTCTCGACTTGCCCGAGCTGCTGTTTGACCGGCAGGTCGGGCGCTACCACATCTCCATGACCAAGGTGCCCAAAGGGCGGAGGCGCCGCAATGCGACGCCCGCCTCTGATCCCTCTGACAGGGCCGATCCGCTCGACAGGTCGTGGTGGGCCAGGCGCAGGTCGCCAGTGCCGCGGCCTGCGCCTGCGCCTGCGGGCTCCGTCGCTGCATCCTTACGCAACGGTTCCTTTGAAGCGACCGGCACTGGCCTCGGCAGGCCGAGATCCGCAGCAGGGCACGAAAACCTTGACCGGCAGGAGGAACAGTCAGTCATGTCACCCGCCTCTTTGAGGGTCGCCTCATCATTCTTCATCTACAGGGCGGACAGCAGATCGACGGCGATCCCTCCACGCCCCTCCGCAGCAAGGGATGGTCGCCATGACTCGTTTGCGAACGCCCTGAATGTCCCAGGACTTCATCGTGCCTTCTCGTTTGAGGAGTACGAGCGGCAGCGGTCTGCTTCTGCGCCGCCCCCTGCTGCGCCCTTGGAAGCAGTGTCTCCTGGTGGCGGAGGAGACCAGTCTGCTCACGCCCGCTCCATCGATGGCGAAGTCGAGGCTGCCCCCCCTGAGTCGGCTGAAGCGACCCTCTCTGCTGCTTTAGTTGGAATCGCACTTGCACACGGGGCAAGCGACGCGGAGGCGGCCGCTCTGGTAGATGTGGCAGAAGCGGTTTCTCCGGCCACGCGCGAGGGGATCGAATCCCCACAGTCAATCAGTAGATCTAGCATCAGTGACTTGTACGACGCCTAGCAGGGATAGAGCTATGACAGCATATCAGGCTGCATTTCCAAGCCTATAGTATCGAGCCAGGTTGTTTGGCGTGAGCCATATCAACAGCTTCCTTTCTATTAGACACTGCCGTGAGGTTCCAAGGGACTGCTCATAGTGTAAAAGCACCTACCTACCTAGTAGGTACATAAAACAAACGCCCTCCACAGAAGTGAACCACCCCGAAGCACCAGGCACTTTCCACAACAAGCGCCGCAGCAAACTCGCCCAGAAAATGCCCAAAGAGTTGCCGTCCACGTCAACCGCCCCGCCATTAGCGACCCCTCCTCTGCCCTTGTCAACCCTTCAAAGCTGAAACGGTCGCCGCCTTCCTATCAAGCTGCGGCCGCGTGTTTTTATCAACTTTCCAAGCGGTTCCGGTGCTGCCGCCACTGCCATTTGCAACGGTTCCCATCACGTGCTTGGGCTGCCGCAAGGACAAGATACGGACGGTGGTGTCGGAATGGCTAGATGGGAGAACTGGTTATTTCGCCCAAGGGTGCGGTCGTGTGGCAACTCGCGCGCGCGCACCCATCCCAAAGATCAGGCCGTCAACTTTCGATTTCCCATTCCCGGCCTCCCTCGCTCCTGGCCTTCTCGTCACCAATGTCAGCCGCCGGCTCGTTGCTATCCAAGTCGTTCGCAAACAGCGCTGTGCCGCCCTTGCCGCCCATCTCGACGAACTCCCCAGGATAGTAGCTCTTGGACACGCCACGACGGTGAACCCCCCCTGAAGCTCCGTCCCGGACCGCGAGAAGCCCACGACGACATGTTGCTGCCGTAGCCCAAGGATATTTTGTATAACCGAGGTGAAACAAGTAAAGACACTCCCGCGAGATTCCCACAAAATGGCACGCAAACAAAAGAAATGGCAGAAAATCAACGAGAAGAAGAGGCACTATGGATAGATTTCGCACTCAAAGGCCCTTGTTGGCGCGACCGCGAATTTTTATCCTCAAGCTCCATGGGCGTCTGCGCATCCTCGCCCGATCTCTCCGCCGCAGTCTCCTCCACAACATTCATAGGCAAGGTCGGCGTGCGCCGCTTGAGTCCGGCGAGGTCCTCGACCGGCTCGTCGTTGCTGCCGTCGTTGACTGAGGGCTGAGACTGTCTCATCCAGGGGTGAGCGAGGCACTGGTCGACTGTGTAGCGCTTCTCCGGATCTACCACAAGCATGCTGTCGATCAAATCCACTACAAGCAACGTCAGGACAAGGAAACGCATGGGAATATGGGGGGGAATTGAGTGCGCGGGTGCTTACGCGCTGGGTCGCCGACCGAATCCCAATAGGGTGAAGGGTAATCAAACCGGTCCGTCCGAATTTGCTGCGAAAGGTTGTAAGGAAAGCTTTCAGTGGTCAAGTCGTCGGAGAATGGTGGAAATCCGCATAGGCAAATATAAAGAACAACGCCCAAAGACCATACGTCGACGGCTTTGGTATACTTCCTATCCTTTCTATCCGCAAGGATTTCAGGCGCAACGTAGCTAGGAGTTCCACAAAGCCTTGTCATGAAGGTCTCTTCCCCAATGATTTGAGAAAGGGCGAAGTCTGCAAGTTTAACTTGCAGGTTGTCTTTGTCTATGAATAAGATTTTTTCGGGTTTGATATCCCGATGGACGATTCCTCGGTCATGCTATGTAAAAATAAATCTAAGATTAGCGCGGACGAAACTAATGTGATAGGCTAAGCGATAGCAAGGCGGTTGCCAGTAGATGCTGGAATGGCGTTATGCTAGGAGTCGAAGAGAAAGAAGGAGGGAAAGGGCTATTTCTCTCCGGGAGACAAGCTTTTGTTGTGAAAGATGTGGCCCAGGCGGGGTTGCACTAACCAGGTATTTTACGGCGCAAAAAAGCTGAGTAAAAAGGTTGCGTGATTCGGCTTCAGTAAGACTTTTTCTTGTTACAATAAAATTGTACAGGTCACCCTCGAAGGCAGGCTCAAGAACCAAATAAACCGCTTCAACCTCGTTGAAAACATCCTTCAGGTTCAGGATGTTAGGGTGGCTTATTCCCATAAGCGTAGCGATCTCAGCCTGCAGCCCTTCGAATTCGCTGGTGCGGGTTTTGGAAAACACCCTAACCCCATATCGGTGGCCGGATGACTTTTCCACGCAGGCGAGAATCTCGGAAATATCGGTCTTTCCGATATTTTCCAGAAGCGTATACTGTTGGGCGAATGCGCTGGTGGAACGTGATTTGGGATAGCGGAAAATAAAACGAGCCCCAGCCGTGACAGCGATCTCGTCTGTTTCCTGAAGCTCTTTCCGCCGGTCAACGAGCGCCTCGTTGACGAACGTGCCGTTGCCCGAAAGATCCTCGACAAAAACAACGGTACCGTTGTTCTTGTGCTCAGGGAATATTAAGCAGTGTCGATTCGAAGCCGTAGGGTCGTCAACGACGATGTCTGAACGCCCGCGGGTCAGCACACGCTTGGGCGGGTCGATGGGGCTGAATCCCGAAGGACAAAAACTTACCGCATTCAGGATGCCTCCCGATGAGATATCCCCGGGAACGTAGATTAGTTTTCAAGTTCGAGTCGGGACTTCCGACCTCGGCGCCAGAAAGCGGGTTGTTCTTGCGGTCCTTTGCTGGGAGGGGGCGGGAGCCCCGAACGCGCAAAACGACACGACGGCCGTACTTTGTGTCCAAGGGGAATATGTAGCCCCAGACGCCCTCCTTCACCTCGTCCTCGACCCAGACGTCTTTGCCCGCCTCTTCAAGACGACTCTTGACAAGATCTGCGCGCTGTTTGCCGACAAGCTTTCGCAGCTTTCTCAGCGCCCGCGCAACTTCCTTGGTTTCGCAGATGGACTCTGGACTGCCGAAAGTACCCTGCTTGTTTTTGAGAAGTGATTGGATGGTCGGATCCTCTTCCCACTGACCGGCTGGTGGTGGATGTGGTGGATCTGCAAAACTGGGAAGGCACTGCCAAGGCGAATGCAGGATGCCCTCGCGCAGCTGTTCTTCTGCCCTTTCGTCTTCTGGAGGCTCCCTGTCTTCTTCTACTTCGTGTACTTCCAGTGCCAGGTGATAATCTTGTGCCTGCTGGTCACCCTGGTCCGAGGTGTAATCTGCAATCGTCGGTGTGATGGACAACTGGGAGCTGTGCGAGGAAAGGCTGTCGTTGTCGTGATGGGGATTTTCCGGATCGTATTTTTTCTCAGGGGGCAAGGACGTCAGGGCGAGTGCCCTCAAATGCGTCACAATGTGATGCTTCATGCTGTCGGCGCCCACATTCCCGCCGCAGAGCGGGCAGGAGTCGAACAGCTGCTCTGGCGTCCAAGAACTTCTATCAGTAAGCAGCTCGAGCCGGCCGTCGGTAAACGAGCCGGGGTGAACTCCTTTCATGTGGTCGATGTATTCCTCTTTTGTTTCGAAGTTGCGCTTTCCGTGGGACTTTGCAATGCACGACCAGCGTCGAGCGTGCTCATCCATGTGGCTCATCCAAGTGCTGCTGTGGGTGTAAAGTTCCCTTGGGCTGTCGCATTTTTCGAAGAGGCATACGTATGCGTCGAGGTCGCCGGTGATGTGTGAGCTGTAGGCAGCCAGTTAGCTCAATGGACATTTGTCCGGTCACCAGGCAAGACCTCGACCACTTACTGCCATTTCGACTTGATCGTAAGATACTCGCCAGGAAGTGTGTGGAAACAGATTGGGCATGTGAACTCTACCACTTTTGTGATACAGGCCTGAAATGCCTCCTTCAACGCCAGATCCAGTGCCTCAACTGCTCCCACCATCCTTTCGGAGGCCGTCGAGGTGCCTATGTCGCCTAGTATTTCTTCGAGCCCCTCTATGAATTTTCTCCATTCTTGTTCTACCTTTTTCTGGTATTGCTCGTCGAAGCAGCTCAGCGGAGGTTGAGGAAAGTCGAGGGCATCTTGGTTGGTCAAAGCAACTGTGCGGGAAGCTGATATCACGGAAAGTGTCGAAGCTTTTTGGAACCTTTTCTGGGATAAAGTCGTTGCGCTGTGGCCAAAGGATACGGTGCTGGGAGCATGGGATCTGGCATCGCTTGTAGAGCGATCCAAGCTGGGGATCGCACGAGAAAGGACGGGCTTGTGCAGGGCTTTGTTATCGCCCGTGGCCATAGGAAACTGGACTGTGGGCCGCTCAGCCCCTTTGGTTCTGATTGGATTGGAGCCGTAGCGAGACCTCCTGTAGAGAACCCTCTTCCGACGGAGAAGCATGGTTGAAGCAAGTCGTTCGGTAAGCCGTTCCCAGCCAAGTCGTTCGGTCAGTTGTTCCGGGGTGAGGTCTTTATCAGGATCCTCATGGGGAGTTGGAAACCGACCACGGACGTGCCAGAGGAAGCGTTGTTGGAGCAGAGGGTCGACCTCTGTGTTTTCCTCGTCCGCTTTGATATTTTGAGATTCGCGGCTCGCTCGTCGGATGATATTGGACACGCTAAAAAGCATGCTTATTTCTCCGGCCATGCCTTGAAGTACTCGGTCGAGCATCTCTTCAATTATGGGAGCATCCTCGGAACCATCCTCCGGTACAAGCATCGCGCCTTGTCCCCGTTAGCATAGATGACCATCAATTACTCTGTAGCGCCGGCGTAGCAACTGCCCGCCTAGGATATTTGGAGTGGAGGGAGCAGCATACAATCGTCAATGTGGTCGAAAAGGGTTTCCAGCACGCAAACAACGACAACACGGACGTCAGGTGTCTCCCGAAGGCGATGGTCCATAGACGCCCGCCCTTCGGCAAACACACCCATATTATTCGTCCAGAGGGTGAAGCGTGTGAGCTGGTCCTCAAGCATCGACCGCTGCCTCAGGTGGATAGATTCCCCTGTTTCCGCGCATTTTTGGAATCCTAGGAAGCATCGACGCGAAGCCACCTCAATGGTTGGCAGCTCGCGAGGTGAGCCTTGGGCTGCTGTCAATTCGGCCATCTTTGCGTCCCAGAGAGGGCTTTGGGATAGGCTGGCGGGTGTCGGGCACATTCGCCCGCACCCCGCCGAAGCTTTGTGGGAAAGTCGGGGACGTGAGCGAAGAAGCAATCATTCCCTTCTGGTCGGGCATGTGCTGGGGTCTCGCTCTTTTCTGCCCCTGCAGCCCGATGGGATCCCGTAGGTAGTCGGGTGGTCAGGCGTCCAATCAGCGGGTGGCATGTCAAAAGATGCATGCATATGGTGGCTGACCCCTTACCCCTCTCCACCGTCTGTTCCCTTCAGTGTTCGACGATAATCTATCAGGTGGTTTGGTGGCTGGATGGGCGGCACCGATTCCGTCCTTTGGGGCGCTTATTATCAGTGCCTGATGCTGCATCATTTTTGAGTGACGCTGATTTCCAGCTCCACCATCCAACCCCCGACTTTTCAGCGCCCACAACAAACAAGAGACGCCAACAAGCATGGCGGCATCTAGCACTGATGCCAGCCAGTGCCAGCTTTTGACAGAAAGCGCCTACTCACTCGGGAGAATCAGCGTCCTTCTCGCGGGCAAGACAACCAACCCAGCGGACAGGAAACTGCACAGGTTCTGCAAACGTCTGGGGCCCTTGTGCTTCGTCATCCACAACACCCCCGACCCGCACAGCGAGCTGGTTACAAGTACATTGGATCGCTTCGAGTTAATCCTCCAGCTGTCAGTGGCCATCGCTAGCACCCCGTCAGAACATCGTTCCTGGGGTTTCGGTTTCCAAGGCCTGCTTGGAAATCTCACTGCCCGGTGGAGTGCCGACACTAGCGACGGCGCCAAAGTGATTCCTTACCCGACACTTTCGTGGCTTAATGAGCAATGGAAGCAACGATGCCGGAGAAACAATGACGGCGCCAAAGTTGAGTTTGCCAAAAGATGTTTAGGATACGGCTCGGTCCTCAAAGGCACAGATGAGGACGAACTCTTCGCGGTTCTGGAAGCGTGGCGGGAACATGCCAACAATGCATCTCACCCCAACGCCCTTCCAAACGAAAAACCCCAATGGGAGCCCTCGGCACTAGCAAAGCGATGGAGTCCCCCGTCTCTTGAGGTGTGGAGAGCCGCCCGCTCCGTCTTCCAAGCTCTTGAAGTTTCGGCCGCTTGTGGCGAGCACTGTTCTCTGTGTAGGGGGCAAGAGCTGCTGGCCAAACTGCGGGTGGCCACGCAACGGAACTCTAGGAGTTGTGCCAGCAGCGATGGGGACGACTTCGTCATGCTTATTGCGGGCGAGGAGAAGATTACAGAGGCCCACGTCCGAGCGATCGGATCGCCCGAAGGCAAGCCATCCAGAAAGGTCGCTTTTGCAACCGAGCCGCAAGGCAAGACAGTGGGCGCTGGCGGGCTTTGCCAGTCCATGGAGTCAGTCGTGCGGCAACACCAGCGGCTTGAGCTGAGGTGGGAGAACGACAAGCTTAGGAAGTTGAAATCCGAGGCCAGAACCTTGCACGTGGATAACGAAGGGACCTCAGTAACCCTCGAGTGGCTTCTCAGCAGGGCAGATTTATCTGTCTGCATCACGTTGAAAAGGAAGTACATTCTCGCCGTATTGCTCGGCTACGCAGTCCTGAACCTTCATGACACCCCTTGGCTCCAGGCAGCATTCGACCCTTCCGGCATCCTATTCTTCCCCATGGCCTCGTCCAGGTATTATCTCAAGCCGTTCCTCACGAGGGAGCTTCGAGTACCTAGCCATGTCAGTCGGGGGATTCAGAAAGATAACGACGGCACTCCAACAGGTGGTGACGATCCTGAAACTGAAACCGACCCGGATATTTTGGCTCTCCACCCAGTCCCTACATTCATCACGCTCGCGGCCACGCTGATGGAGTTGTATCTGCAGAAACCGTTTCAAGTGCTGGCCAAGCGGTACTTCTCGGGAAGAAATCCAGAAAAAATGAGCAGGACAGAGTTTTTCGATGTGGCGGCCTTGTTTGATGAGGTTAGAAAGGAGAAGGATATCCCTGACGATGCAGAAGAATTTGCCAAGAGCATTGAAATGTGCCTCGATCTGAACGTATGGATGGACGGAAGCGGTCAAAAACTTGCGGACCCAGACCTTAGGAGGGTGTTCTACAACAGAGTGGTCCGGCCGCTGGAGGAACAACTCTGCAGGGCAGACAATGGGATGTCCATCGACGGACTCGACACCCTGACCGAGGACATATATCTGGAGATCGACCCCATCCATCTTCCTCCCAGAAAACCAATCCACTCGGCGCGGGGACCAACTGCCGACAGTATAACTCCTTGGACGAGGCGTCCGCCGAAGGGACGAGCCGAGTCCGCCAATGGCCGACAACGTGATCCTTATGCTCAAATCTTCGATGGCTTCGATGAGCACGATGAATTCAAGTATGTGCCAGCCCACTTGGGCCCTCTCCTTTCCCTAATGGTAGCAAGGTGCCTAAAATAACACTCGCCATCCCCAACACCAACAGGCGTAACTCATACAAGGAGTGGAAATGCCAATTCGAAAATGTCAGAGAACTCTTCTTTGACAACGTCGGCGAGAGCCCCAAGGACACCACGCCCGTTAAGATCGCCGTGCTGGACACCGGGATAGATCTCGACCACGAATGCGTAAGCGCCACAGAAGACAGGATCATGGAAAAGTGTAGCTGGACGAACATCGGCCGCCCTCGCGGCGGCGTGGGAGATGAGAACGGACACGGAACATTCGTCGCAGGCCTACTCCTCGAGTATGCGCGCGACGCCGAGGTTTACGTGGGGAAGGTTTGCAGCGGCCGGGAAGCGCCCTCTCAGTGTTTGCTAGCGAAGGTGAGTACTACCCATCCCCCTCTCCTCCACCTCTTAAAAACTCGATGATGTGACAGGATCCCAACTTACCGCGCCAAAAGGCCATTGATCACGCTGTCAATGTGTGGAAAGTCGATATCATCTCCATCTCGCTTGGCTATCCGGAAAGCGAGCATGAGAAATGTAAACCTGGCACCTGTGGAGAGCCAAAGGAGTGCCAGATACTCAAGGACACCATTTTTGCGAATAGCAAAGACGTCCTCATATTTGCCGCGGCATCGAATGGCGGCGCTAACCAGGGGCGGGCCTATCCTGCCTCAGACGACAAGGTCATCTGCATACACTCAACATCCAGCCTTGGGAGACAGTCCGACTTCAGCCCCGACGCAGAAATCAGCCCGGCAATCGCCACGGTAGGCGAAGCGGTTGAATCGTGGTGGCCGAACCACCTCTTTACCGACCCCGACCCGGACGCGGAAGGGATCAAGCACAAATCCGGCACTTCGTTTGCGACACCCATCGCGGCAGCTATGGCGGCCAACCTGATTCGGTATGCGCGGGCTCATCTAGGCAAGGAAAAGGCCGAGAGAATGAAGGACAAGGATAAGATGAAGAGGGTATTCGAAACCATCGCGCAGGACAGCACGAGAGTCAGGGGACCGAAGACGGACCGCTACGACAGCGTGCATTTCAGCAGGCACTCTCATAATTTCTTTGGCGGGGACGAGGACGAGGTGCACAGGAACCTTAGGGCACTGCTCTCGAGGTGATAAGACCAATGGAGCAGGAATGAGAGGAGGCTGGAAACAGCCCTGGACTGTAATCGGATTGAAGTTCTCCTTCGCCAGGCATTTTGCAAGTCGCGGCCGCTCACTCAGGGGACTTTTTGGAAAAGGCGCAGACCACCTCAGTATCACCCTCGGTCACGCCGAAACTGTCTTCGCCTTCGTCCTCGGGGTCGTCCATCTTGGAGACGAGAAAGCCGGGCCCATGCACGACTCCCCCTCCAGTTTCGTTCCCCAGCAAGGCGCCACGCTTGTAGTCTTCCTGCTTGCGGACCTCGCCCGTGTCCTTGTGCGCGTAGACCCTCCGGACCCTAAAGGCGAGAACAAAGGGCTCGCTGCCGCCCCAGGCCACCCCGGTGCTTTTGTCCCTGCTCAGGTCGGCAGCCACCTCCACCGCCGCCGGCGCCGCGCCCCCGCTCAGGAGCGTGGGGTCGACCCCGCCTTCGAGATGGCCGCCGCGGCCGCGGGACGCGCGCGATTCCGCGCTGGCGCCGTAGACGGTCTTGAGGCCCGTGATGACGTAGACGGGCTTTTTGCAGCGGGAGAGCTCGAGGTACCGCTTCACGCGCGGCGCGTCGAGGCACTGTTGCAGGTAGTCCTCGTCGGGGAAGAACTGCGTGGTTACGAGTTGCTCGTACGAGTGGAGGGCCTCGGCGCTGAGCAATTTACATGGTGTTAGAAGCTTTGCGACAAACCTATCTGGAGTTTCGAGTCTTTGCCCGCCCGTCTTCAGAATAAAAATTGGTCGGCCCCGGAAGGAATCGTCAAGGGAAGACATGCGCCTGCGAGGTTGCGTACTTGTTACTATAGCGGACACCGCCGCCGAGCTTCAGGACTTCAAGGAATTTCGTTAGGATGGTGAGGCGACCCTGCCGGAGATCGGCGTGCGAGATGACCACGTCCGTTTTTGTAATCGGGGTGGTGGACGGCGGCACCACCGTTGCCAGCGGCGTCTCCGGGTTCTCGATCGACCTGAGGACGTTGCCAATCTTGATGGGGCCTTCAGCAGGAATGTCCCATGTGGGCGCGTAAAAGTAGAACTGGGTGCGATTCGCCATTTCTTTTGGCAGCCAGCAAGGTGGTGGTTAAAAGGAAAAGAGGCCTTAAAAAGGTACCACTAGTATGTATAGTATTGAGGCCCAAGTGAAATTCAGGACACCAGCCGAAGGAATGACAACTGCTGCCTTTCTGCTCCCCCAATAGCACGACTCGGATACGCCAAGGCAGGATATTTTCGCACCTGTAGTCAATCGCGCGCATTCAGCCACCACTGCGGCTGACCCTAATATGCCTGCAAATTTCATGCTCAAAGGAAAGAAGACGAAAAAAAAAAGAGACGCGACGGCGATGGCGTCGACGGGGCGGCGGCGATGTCACAAAGGACCCCCTGAGGGCCTGCAAAGCTAGAGCACCGTGCGTGGGGTGATAGACAGCTGAAAGCGAGCAAGCAAATAAAAACGGATTTTTTTTTTACAGAAATGGGGTTAAAAACTCTTGTCGAAGCCTTGTGGAAGTGAGAGCGCAGGCTCTGTCTTTCCGGATGGTAGCTTTTCCCTGCCAAGACTTCTTGGCTGTATCCTCAGCTGCCTCCCCTTGTGAGCACCATTCGCCGCATGGTGGTCTCGTTCCTGGCCTTGGCGGAGCCGGCCGTCAAGGTACCCGGAACCGCGAGCGCACCCTCTCCAGATCAGCATCTAAACTCTTGTGTATGATGCGTGAGAGTGGGGGCGGGGTCGATTTGGGAGTGAGGGGGGACCTATGGCTGAAGAGTTGGCGCAGCACCAAGCATGCAGTCTGCCAATATTCCATCCAGCCTTGCCTTCAGCTTCGAAACACATATAAGTCTGGCCGGCATGGTGGCTTCCTGTTTGTTTTCCCCATTGGCAGCTGTATCGTATCTATCGCACATACAACCTCCATACCTAGATCCCAATCCTTTACCTTTGCTTTTCTACGCCGTTCGTGGACGATGCCGGCCATACCCGTCCCTAGGGCGATCTGGGAGGGGATGTCAACGTTGCTAGCCAGTGACTGCCCATTCTGTGGCGATTGGGCGGCGAGTCTCCAAAAAAAAAAAAGGCGAGATGCCAGGGGGAAACGCCCTGAAGGCCAATAAGACTCTCTAGAAACAGCAATTTTGACATAGCAGCTCATGAGACATGTGGGCGCACACCAGGAGCAGCTTGCCATCTTTGCCGTACCTCGGGAAGCAGATGACGACAGCGAAGCTGGCACTCCAGACTCTGGGATGTTGGAGTCCCATCTATGGACCAACCCTCTTTTTCTATAGCCCCTAGCGATGAAGGGATCTAGCTCAAGCCAATGACCCATCCACTCACAGCCCAGTCTCTCGGATTGGTGAGGATGCCGAGCCTGGCGTTGACGCCGAGGCCAAGTTCGACGGCGGAAGCCACTACTCGTAGGACACGCAGACTTCAGCCTTTGTGACGGTACACTCACCCGGTGTCCCACAGTCATCATCCTCGGCCCCGTCCGAGGCGGCAGACAGGCCGGACACGAACTCGAGCTCGAGCAGGAATCGAGACAACGCCCTGTCGGGTCGGGAGATGCCCTACGACGGGACCGCCAAGACCGAGCACTCGCTTCGGAACCCGTTCGAAAACGGTCACCTCCAGGTGTCCCGCAACGCGCCTACCAACTACCCAAAGTTCCAGTGCCGGGTAGGCGACAGCTCCGAAACACACCGGATACATAGGATCAAGGCCGAAATGGTGCCTCTGTACGCATACGACCGGCACTCGCTCACGGTCCTAATCAAGGACAAAGACGCGCCAGACAGGGCCGTGGCAATATACTAGTTCGCGTCGCTTAAACACCTGTTTGCGTTCCAAGGTTAGTTTACGGGCGAGCAGGTGCACCGATCCTCCAACCAAGGCGCTATTTGCCAGCGCGGAACTTGTCCCAGCTGCTCCTCATGCGCACGGCCTGGCCGGGAGTGAACTCGTTGAGGCATGAGTCGACGCTGTAGTCCATGTAGTTGTGGATGGGGTCGACGCCGGGTCGCTTCGGGCACGTGTTCCTCCCCACGGGGCACCCCGATGCCGGCGTGGCCTCGGCCGGCGTGTCGGCGACCAGGTCCCCGCCATCCGTCTCCTCGCAGCCGCCCGTGAACGTGTGGAGCAGGCCCAGCCAGTGGCCGATCTCGTGCACGGCCGCGTAGCCGAGGTTGTACTCGGCCAGGGCGCCGCCGGGTTGGCTCTCGCGGGTGATGATGACGCCGTCCCAGATGAAGTCCGCCGAGTCGCGGGCCGGCGGCTCGTGCAGGGGCGGGGCCGCGACGCCGAGCAGGCCGTCGCCCAGGCTGATGGTGTACATGTTCAGGTCGGCGTAGGAGCCGCGCCGCAGGGCGCGCTTCATCTCGACGGCGTCGGCGAAAAGCTCGAGCTGGGCCCACTTGGCGTTGACGGTGCGCGTGACGCTGCCGAGGTTGAAGGCGAAGCCGTACCGCGGGAAGATGGAGTTGAGCACCGACATCTGCTTCTCCACCCTCGACGCGGGCGTGTTGCCGCCGGCCTCGGTCTTGTCGGACGAGACGATGTGGTAGTGCAGCGTGATGTTGACCACGGCGCGGGCGGCCGTGGCGCCCATGAGGCCGACCGGGGAGGCGGCGGCGGCGGCGGCGTCGCCGGCGGCGAGCTGCTGGAACGCCTGGAGCTGCGCCGGCGACAGGGGCGGGGTGCCGCACCGGAACTCGGAGCCCAGGCCGCGCCCGGCCTTGAGCGAGCCGGTGGCGGCGAGGGAGAGGGCTGCGAAAGAGGGAAGATGCATCTTGTGACGAGGGGAACGAGGCGGGCTGCGAGGCTGGGAGATAGCGCTGGCACTGCTTGCTCCCTACCACCAAGGCAAGAGGATTCCGCCGCGCTGGGCGGACGCTATATACTGTTCCCAGGCCGGCCAGCCCATCATCGATCGCGAGCAACGCCCCATTTGGCAAGTCCATCGATTCTACGCTGTATAGATTTCCCGCGCTCGTATACACAGTAGTTGCTCCCCGAAGGCTCCATCGGCAATTTCCCACAAACAAGGCTACTGCGCATGCGAGGAACCAAGGCAGACTGCTAGTGTCAAAAGAACCCCTCGCAGTCACATCCCGGCCCCATCCCGGCAAACGGGTGGAGGTGGAATGGTGAGAGCCGCAGTACCTGCCTAACAAGGCGAGCGGTACCTGCCTAAAAGGGCAATAAGCGGCTCCCTATCATCGATCAATTACATTTAGCTGCGGCCCGCCCCTGACGAACGCGCCAGCTTGTGGATATCCCGTTACGCCAGAACCGCGATTTCGGCAGGTCGAGAGGGGCAAGCCCGGTAGTTCCCCTGGCCTTGCGCCTTGTGGATATACGATTACGCCAGCATCGCAATTTGGCAGGTCGGCAACGCAAAAGAGGCCTCCTCGTTGCATCGGCGCTGGTAGATCGCCAAGGACAGCCACTGGGACAGCCAAGTCTCCAGATGGCCGGGTTTCTTGAGGAAATGCCCCCGGGCGGGCTTCTTGCAACAGGGCGGGGTGCGCCGTGGCTGGCCGTCATCGTCTTGTGCCGAACCAGCACCTTTCCTCCACCTCATCGACAACGTGCGCCCTGACATCAGGATGGCCCTCCTCCTGGCTGTCGTGACGACCGCGGCCGGCGTGCTCGCCGCGCCCGCCGCCCCCAACGCCCCTGCTGCCGCCAACGCCACCCAGCCATGCGGCACCGCCGGGTCGGCGTGGGCCGCCCAGAAGGCCGCGGGCGTCGAGGTCCCCAGCGTCGACGCGGCGCTGGCCTACGCCTGCCTAACGTCGATCCCCGTGAAGAGGTCGACGGCGCTCAAGTTCGTCGACGAGCTGGTCCCCTACCTCGAGTGGTAGTCGGACGCGGCCTACAAGAACGACCCGCCCGCGGGGCTAGCCTACCCGGGCTACGACATGTTCGCCGAGCCCGGCAGCCGTCCGGGCCGGTATCGAGGCCGGCTCGTACGCGACCGAGCACGCGTGGCAGGCTGACCTCTTCGAGCGCGTCTTCGGCGCCGGCCACGACGGCCACATGGTCGTGATGCCAGACTTGCTCGACACAGTGCGCTGGCGCCGCGGCCTGACGCTCGTGTCGGTCAGCGAGGACGGCGTGGCGCCGCCCGTGCTCAAGGTCTACGAGGACGTCGTCTCCGGGGCCGCCGCCGCGTCCGTCGTCACGCACATTGACGGCAAGGACGCCGTCGGCTTCGTCCAGGACTGGGTAGACAGAGCCGGCGAGCACCAAGACCGCGACGCCAGCTACAACGCCATGTTCTACTCCAAGGCGCAGGAGGTCGTGTACAAGACCAAGGGCTATTTCAGCGGCGGTGGGCGACTGCAGTGAGTCCGCCTCCTTCCCCGTGCCGACGGGCTGCTGAGGCGTGCGTGCTGACGTTTCGTGCCAGGCTTCTCTACCCCGGCGAGACCACCACCCTGACTTTTAACAACGGGACCGTTGTCAAGCTCCGCAACACGGCGCTGCTGCAGGGCGACTGGACTGGGGTTGTCGACGCGGCTTCATTCGGTAAGTTCCACTTGGTGCCTACCGGCTCCGGCTGCCCTGTCCCTAATGTTTTCCGTTTACGCCGGCACCCCAGGCAAGAAAGGCTGTACAGCCTGCAAACACCAGGCCCCGCTGACGAAGCCCTGCAAACAGTCCGGAAACTCACACCCCTGGCCGTGCCCGGCGCCCAAGTCCCCGACACCGGGGACGAGGACCGCCAAGCCCTCGCACGCCGCCCAGGCGTTACTCCCACCGTCGCCGCTAGGAGTGCTCTCTTGTCAACGCGAGCAGCCAGCGCATGGCCCGGCTACCCCGAGGCCGAGGCCGTATCCCTCGACAAGAGCGCCTCGGGCTACTTCCTGTCGGGCCCGGGCTACTCCGACGTGGCCGTCCTCGTCCTCACTAGCTTCTCTCCGATCGGCTTCGACGTGCAGGCGGTGCAGAAGTTCTACGCCAAGCCGCCGCGGCCGGCAAGAAGAAGCTGGTGATCGACCTGCAGGCCAACGAGGGTGGCTTCATCTACCTGGCCTACGACATGTTCCGCCAGCTCTTCCCGGACATTGTGCAGCAGGGCCTGGGCCGCCGCCGCCTGTCCCCGGGCTTCGAGGCGGTCGCGAGGGCCGCCGCCGCCATCTGCAAGGACTTCGACCCCCGCGCGGCCGAAAAGGTGCGCGACACGGACCTCTGGCTCCTGTGCCAGTCCCCGCTCAACTACGGCTACGAGCTCGACACGGCCCTGCGCCATTTCGAGTCGTACGCCCAAAAGTACGCGCCCCACGAGCACCACGGCGACCGCTTCACCAACCTCACGGGCTGGGACCTCGGCAACCACGCCGACAGCAGCAGCCTCTTCTACGGCTTCAACATGAACGTGACGGGCTACGGCGACCGCACCAACATGCGCCGCCCCTTCGCCGGGCCCGACGACGGCGCCTGCGCGTCCGCCTGTACCGTCCTCTCCGAGTTCCTGGTGCACCACGCCGGCGTCAAGACCGTGTCGCTCGGCGGCCGCCCGGGCAACCGTGGCCTCACCCAGGGCGTCGGCGGCGTCAAGGGCCCGCAGGTCTACGCCTTCACCGACGTCAAGGGGTACGTCGACCGCGTGGGGCGCAACTCGACCGCGCCCGCGGAGCTGGCCCGAGGAGCTGGCCCGATATACCAACTACGTAAGGGGGCGATCCCCCAGGGCCGCCTCATCAACCTCCGCGACGCCATCCTCCCGGGGCACGAGCAGGATGGCATCCCATCGCAATACGTGACGGAATATTCGCGCTGTCAGCTTTTCTGGACCGAGGAAATGGTGAAGAGCCCCGAGGCGATTTGGAAAGCTGCTGCCGGCGCGGCTTTTAAGCAAGGAAAATGTGCTAGTGGCGGATTTTAAAGGGGGTTTTGTGTCAGTCATTTGTGGTTCAATCCGACAGGATAGGTACATGCAGTTTAAGAATCGAGATGAAATCAATTTAGCGTCAGTGCCTGGGGCGCTGTCACGTGTTCGCGCACGTACCATCCCCCGCCGAGCAGCCCCCATGGAGACTCTCTGACGTGCCCGCGACGGTGGCAGGGCATTTCTATCTGGCCGCGTTGCGCCGGCTCTGGGTGGCTAGATACAGGGAAAGTTATAACCTCGTGGCAACCGCAAACCCCCGTTTGAGAATCGAGATAGACCTCTGCCCGCCAACTATCACTATCTCCACGTGACTTCTACCACTGTTAGTTATTCTCGCCCGAGCGCGGGGTAGCCGTCAACCGAGCAGCCCAGTGCACTGTACCTGGTATTCACTAGATGTGCCCTGCGGACAAGCGATCTAAGCAGTGGCTGAGACTGATGGCCTTCTTAGAGTCTGGTGCTATTGGCGCAGTAGCATAAAGCTTACACCACTGTTCGTTTCACGGATTGTTAACAAGCCAGCTGCGTTCAAGACACCCAAATTCGAAGCTTTGCTTGGCATCTCCCCAGATCAGCGCATGATGATGAAGGGGTGTGCGCCCATGCGTCACGCGTCACGCGATGGCGCCTCGCAAACGAACGAAGCGGGCACCGGGAGAAGGCGCTGGACATCGGCCTTCCAATGAACATCCCTCCAAACGTCGGGATCCTTCCTATCGTACCCGCCTCGCCCTAGTTTTTCGATGCCAGCATACCTGTAAACCTGTGCCTAGAGCGAGCAGCACACACGCCCCCGTGACCGTCAAGTAGGCGCAGAGAACAATAATAATATTCCGACTTTTGCTATTGTTCATGGTTCCCTCGTTCCCCCTTCTGAGCCCGCCGTCGATCCCAGTCCCTCTGTCGAGCTGTTTGACCCCTCTCACACTCATTCACGTCCACGGCACCTTTTCGGTCAACCTTGGCGCCGCTGCACCCCGTGACCCTCCCCGATTCCCCCCCCTCACCGTCCGTCCTCCTTTCTGCCATCTCTACCAACCTACCTGCCCGGGGTACCTTAACTAGGAGGTAGGCAGTTACGGACGAACGACAACCCGCCTTTGCCACTCGCGCACCCGCGAAACCGTTCAACGGCCCGCTCGCGCGCGCGCCGCCAAGAGTCGTCGCACCTTTGGCCCCGAGCCGCCACCACCACCACCCACCACCATCACAAAACCCACCCGTCCGTCCCCCCTTTTGGCAAGGAGCCAGGATAGGATGCCGCAGCATCCCCACATCGAGCCGGTCGACACCGCGGGCGGGGCGGCGGCCGTCGACGATGCCGAGGAGGAGGAGGAGGACGACGACGACCTCGACGACGGCCTCGTGGCGCTACAGAGGAGCATCAGCAACAAGCGGCGCGAGGGCGCCAGCGCCGCCTCGCCTATCCAAAAGGTCCTGCCCTTTCCGTTCGCGCCCAACGTGCGGCCCCTGACTATCTCCGACGTTGACTCGTGCGTCGCCTTGGAGAACGCCGCCTTTACCAACAAGCAGCACCGGGCGTCGAGGGAGAAGGTAAGTTTCCTTTTTTTTTTGGGGTTGAGAGGGATTCGCAAACAAGATGACCTCACTGTCGCGACTCATTGCCCTCCGCCCGCCGTAACCCCCAGTACATTTCATGATATGCTATGCCATGCCAAGGCAGAGGCTACCGATGACAAGTCGGGCTTCTTTCCTTTTTTCTGTCTTTCTCTTGCGCCCTCGTTTGTCATTCTCCCGCTTACCCCTCCCCTGCCAGTTTGAGTACCGCCTCACTGTGTGCCCGGAGCTGTGCATGGGCGTGTTCTGCACCATGGTCCCGGGCCGCCAGAAGAGGTTCGAGATCGAAACGTTGGCCTCGGCGAAGCCAGTCGAGACGGACCGCGTCAACGGTGCCGTCAGCGTCCTGCTGGGCCACATCATCGCCACCATTTCGTCCTCGGACCTCATCGTCGACAGGGACATGGAGATGCCTAGTGGCTGGCGGACCGCCGGCACGCGGTCCTCCAGCGTCGGCCACCAGCAGAGCGGCACCACCGTGGCCATACACTCGCTGGCCGTGGCCCCCCACGTCCAGGGCTGCGGCATCGGGCAGCTCGTCATGAAGTCGTACCTGCAGCAAATCAACAACTCGGGCATAGCAACACGCGTCGCGCTCATCTGCCAAGAGGTAAGCCGCCATATTTCGGGCTGTCTGTTGAAACGTTGTGTATTGACTAGCGTCTCCAGAACTTGGTCAACTACTACAAACGCTTTGGCTTTCAACACGTCGGGCCGAGCAAGTGCCAATTTGGAGGAGGTGGCTGGCATGACATGGTAAGCTCAAGCTGGACCCTCACCATAGCCAAGCCACCATACTTATTCAATCTTCACAGGCTTTCCAGTTGGCCGGCATTGCCAAGATCACGCCAATCTAACACAATCAAGCATGGCACTGTCTCGCAGGACAGTTTTTCACCGCCACCCGTCAGACACTACACTTCTCTTTTCACGTCCCCCGCATATTCCCTCCTTTTCGTTCCCCTGGACTTCTAAACGGTGGCTCTACTCTACAAGGCGTTATGGCGTTGCTAAAGCGAGGGGACTCGGGCTCACGATGGGTCCAGCTAGACATTGTTGGGCGGCGATAGATGGCGCTTTTTACAGTCTTTTTCTCTTTTTACCTCTTCCCCATTTGACTTCCAGCCCGCACAGTCTCTAATCAGTTGCCTTGTACTTTTTCCTGTACTCCTCGGTCCGCTTGATCTCGTCCTCGGACGCGAAGCTCTTCATGCCGTCGATGATGTCGTCGAGCGTCAGGATAGCGATTATGGGCAGGCCGTACTCCTTCTTGATCTCGCCCAGGGCGCTGGGCATGGGCTTGCTGTCGTCGCCGTCGGGCGACGGCAGCTTCTCCATGCGGTCCAGGGCGACGACAATGCCGACAACGACGCCGCCCTCGGCGCGGATCTTGGCGATAGCCTCCCTCTTTGCCGTGCCGGCCGTGATGACGTCGTCGACGATCAGGACCCGCTTTCCCTTGAGCGGCGCGCCGACAATGTTGCCGCCCTCGCCGTGGTCCTTGGCCTCCTTGCGGTCGAACGAGTAGCAGACCTCCGAGTAGCGCGCCGGGTCGAGCTCGGCCAGCTTGTCCGTCGTGGCCGTGGCCAGCGGGATGCCCTTGTAGGCCGGCCCGAAGACGACGTCGAACTCGAGCCCGGCCTGCTCGCGCGCCTCGATGACGGCCCGGGCGTAGGCCGTCGAGATGGCCCGCAGCAGGTCCGCGCGGTAGAAGTCGCCCGCGTTGAAGAAGTAGGGCGACACGCGCTTGGACTTGAGCTCGAAGCTGCCGAACTTGAGGACCCCGCCGCCGATGGCGGCCTTGAGGAACTCGGCCTTGTACGGCACCAGGGTTTGGTTGCTCATCGTGGCTGTCTCGTGTAAGACCGAGGGTCGGCCCTGCGACGCGTGACTGTCAGCGAATTCTGGCTTCCATCTTGGCAACGGAATCGCCCTGGACGCTCTCTGCTTGCGTGAGTGATATCAGCCAGCCCTATTTCAGAGTAGCTTATTGCTCGTCCATAGAAAGCTCTTTACCCCCAATGACACGAAATATCCGTCAGTCTGCCTTGGGGGGGCTGCGCTATCAAACATAATGCTGGAGCCGTGTTCCCCGGCAGATCCGTATAAAGAGCAGCTGTTTCCACGAGCACCAGAAAGTCTGAATTCCAAAGCTGTTTCATACTGAGCCAAGGCTTACCTTTCTGATGTTCAAGATTTTATTGGCCAGACAGGCCGTCGATGTTGGTTATTATTTCTCCAGGGAAGAAATCTCGCAGGAGACCAAAAAAAAAAGTCGCGGCGCCACCAATTTACCGTTTCCTTTGAAGGAGGGATGAGCATCAAGAATTTTGGCGGGGTAGGAACTCATTTGATGCTTTGATAGTACGCCATCTGGTTTGCCTTTTTACCCTACTGCGCTATAAACCCCCTCCTTCGCCTTAGCGACTTTGCAATTTACAATCTCCCAAATAACTAATCAGGCCTCTGCCTCCTTCTACCTCTACGATACCAATGCCCCGGGCAGCCTTCGTTTTCGTGCAGTTTTCGACAATCCGCCGCAAATGTTCTCGACGGGGCGGTACTGGTACATGCATGGGTTGCCTGCAGTGCTCCACATTTCGTCACAGGAGGGGCGGATTTATGGTTGATTCCACACGATAAGCTTGTCGGTAGGCCGATAAGCACGAAGGCGGTAAATTTTTTTCAAAAGTTGAGAAAAATCCCACAAGTTGGCCCCCGCCGCGACCACAGCGAAAAGGCGGACTCGGAGTTTGCGACGGACGGCAAAAAAAAAAAAAAAAAAAGGCACATCCAACGCAGCACTCGAAGACGCTGCGCACCCCAATTCGCCCACCATGAAGACGACTTGGAAAGACATCCCGCCGGTGCCGACGTCGCAGGAGTTCCTTGACATCGTCCTGAGCCGCACGCAGCGCCGCCTGCCCACCCAGATCCGCGCCGGCTTCCAGATCAGCCGTATCCGGAATTTCTACACGCGCAAAGTCAAGTTCACCCAGGAAACGTAGGCTCACCCCCTCCCCTCCGGCGCAGTCGGCCACCCTGTCTGGCAGTCGCATCCCATTTCTGATCCGGCTGTCCCATCCCTCCAGCTTCTCGGAAAAGTTCGACGCGATCCTCTCGTCCTTCCCCCGGATCCAGGACCTGCACCCCTTCCACAAGGATCTGCTCAACACCCTGTACGATGCCGATCACTTCAAGGTGGCCCTGGGCCAGGTCTCGACGGCCAAACACCTGATGGAGACCATCTCGAGGGACTACGTCCGCCTGCTCAAGTACGCACAATCGCTGTACCAGTGCCGCCAGCTCAAGGTCGCCGCCCTGGGTCGCATGGCCACCATCTGCAAGAAGTTGAAGGACTCTCTTGTTTACCTGGACCAAGTCCGCCAGCAGTAAGTCCGCCCGGAACCGTACGGAGAGCTGAAAAGGACCAAGCTAAGACTCCTTGCTGTACAGTTTGGGCCGTCTGCCCTCGATCGACCCCAACACGCGCACACTCCTCATTGCCGGTTTCCCCAATGTCGGAAAGTCGTCCTTCTTGAAGAGTGTCACCAGGGCCGATGTTGATGTTCAGCCTTATGCCTTTAGTACGCGGCCCACCCCTTTCTTGGATTCCTGCTTGAGTAAGATGAAGGAGCGCTTCATCCGGCTAACCCGAGTTTTATACCATCACAGCTACCAAGAGTCTTTTCGTCGGTCACCTGGACTACAAGTATCTCAAGTTTCAAGTGATTGACACTCCAGGGATCCTGGACCATCCCCTGGAGGAGATGGTAAGGACCCAATTCCCGACGAGAGCGGGGCGCTTTGCCCCCAAGGCCGGACTGTCCACTAACGCCGCTCTCCCCATGTAGAACACTATTGAAATGCAGAGCATCACGGCCATTGCCCACTTAAGATCAGTGATCCTTTACTTCATGGATCTCTCGGAGCAGTGTGGCTACTCGGTGCAGGCTCAGATGCAGCTCTTCAGGAGTATTAAGCCCCTTTTCGCCAACAAGATCGTCTTCATCGTTGTCAACAAGATCGACGTGATGAAGCCCGAAGATCTCGATGCCGAAACGCAGGAGGAACTCCAGACACTGCTTAAGCTCGACGGCGTTGAGATGCTCCAGCTCTCGTGCAGCACGCAGGAGGGTGTTCAAGCGGTCAAGAACGCTGCCTGCGAGAGGCTCATTGCCGAGCGGGTGGCGCAAAAGCTGAAGGCGGGCACAACCTCGAGCGGCGCCGCGGGCGGTCGTCTCGCCGAGGTGATGACCAGGATCCACGTGGCCCAGCCCATGGGTGGCTCCAAGCTTGAGACCTTCGTCCCTGAGGGCATCAAGAACCTGAAGAAGTACGACAAGAGCGATCCCGACCGCCCGATGCTCGCCCGCGATATCGAGGAGATGAACGGAGGAGCCGGTGTGTACAATGTGGACCTGAGGGAGAAGTGGATTCTGGAGAACCCCGAGTGGAAGCACGACAAGATCCCCGAGGTGTTCGACGGCAAGAACGTTTACGATTACATCGACCCCGAGATCGAGGCCAAGCTGGCGGCTCTGGAGGAGGAGGAGGAGAAGCTCGAGGCAGAGGGCTACTACGACGAGGACGAGGAGATCGAGGACGACGAGGAGGAGGAGGTTCTCGCCAAGGCCGAGCTCATCCGCGAGAAGCAGGCGCTGATCAGGAACGAGGCCAAGATGAAGAAGTCGCTCAAGAACCGGGCGATAATCCCACGCAAGGCGGCCAAGAAGTCGCTGTCGCAGATGGATGACGCGCTGGACCAGCTCGGCGTGGACACGACCGACATCACGGCGCGCGCCAGGTCGCAGTCCCGCGCCAGGGGCCGGTCGCTCACGCGCAGCCGCCTGGGCACCGAGGATGGCGACGCCATGGATCTCGACGGGGGCGCCGCGTCGGCACGCGAGCGGCTCCGGTCGCGCAGCAGGGCCCGCAGCCAGCCGGCGACGGACCGCCGGAACGACGGTGTGCTGGACGAGGCTGCCCGCGCCGCCGCAGAGAGGCAAGCCAAGCTGGGTCAGCGCAAGATGAACAGGATGGCGCGGCAGGGTGAGGCCGACAGGCACTCCACGGCCTCGCTCACAAAGCATCTGGTAAGTTTCCTTTAGTCCCTCTTGTTTGGTGGTTCTTTTTTTTTGGGCTAGCCATTGACTAATCCACTTTCGTGCTCCTCTACAGCTCGCGGGCAAGCGTGGAATGGGCAAGACCTCACGCCGTTGATTCACGACTTGATGCCTCCTTTGTTGGGTTCTAGGCGGAGTTTTGGCGTTTGGTCTGTAGCATGGACAATTTCCCAGCTGTTTTACACCAATGATGATAATGCCAAAAAGTTCACCTTTGCGTCGACAGATTTATGCGTCCGGCGCACATTGCTTGGGGTTGCGCGAACCGTTTGAAGAGCCCAGGGCAAAATAGGGGGCAGCGGGGGGAGCCTGGGTCCTGTAGATCAAGTCCATACCCCGACGAGGTTGGTATCTAGGCACACATGTGATATAGGAGCTTGAGCTCTCTGTAAATCAAAGTCGACAAGTGTTGAATCCTCGGTACGGGCAGGCGTTGGTGCAAAACTTAGGTAGACCACGAGGGGACAAGCCGAATGCGGCAGGATTCAAGTATAATCTTTTACATAAAGATATAGATGTGTCTCCCGCATCTTCCTAGGTGGCCCGCCGGTTGGCACGGCCAGGCAACGGGCCTGGTGATGACGAGTAATGTAACTATAGCAGGGGAAAAAAAACCCTGTGGGCCGCCCATCATAACCAAAAATCCACCAGTCACTCCAGTTGGTAACAATAACCTGCGGAAGTAATGGGTGTCGGTTGTACACCAAGTCTGAAAATTTGTATACTGTATGGGCAGATACGGTCGAGGATATTGTTGAAACGGGGTGATATCCTTGCTCGCTCAAAGGCGGGTAGTACGAAGCTAACTTCACAAGATCGACCTTCGTTTCAACAACGGAAACCAGCGCGACGAGATAAGAGTGTCCTAGGAAGAGGACGATGACAATACAGAGAGAAAACCAGCCTGAAAAGCGGTTACTTGTTACTGAGCAATCTCGAGGGGACCCCTCAAGCCATTGAGGACCAGATCCTCACCCATGGCACGCTTGTAGATATCCCTGACGTCGTCGGTGGTGCTCTCGAAGTGGCTTGATGCATCGTAGCTCTTGGAGATGAAGATTCCGTCCTTCTTGCCATCCTCGAGCGGCTCGTAGAGTGGGATGGCGGGGCCCTGCATGCGGCGCGCCGTGCGTGTCAGCGACACCCAAAATAATACAGAAATAAGAACCGAATAAGTGGCTTACCATGAACATCTCCTCGATCTTGCCGAGGCGTTCGAGGCCAGGCTTCAGCTCCTCTTGGGGGTTGGCCTCCATCTCGGCGATGGTAGACACGATGGCGACGTAGTAGCCCTTGGGGCAAACACGTTGAACATAGGAGATGCACGCGATGTAAATGTCTGAGAAAGGGGGTTAGAGCAAGGTTCTTTATCCAATAGTCTTTGAAGACACAAGGGGAACTAATGACAAGACAGCACCAAGACTTACCATGCTTGCGGCCGATCTGCGACTGCGGGATAATGATCTGGCACGAGTCGCTGTTGTTGGTGCCGTTGATGGGGTGGTCGAGCACGCAAATGGCGCGCAGGACCTTCTTGGTGAACTTGACCCTGTCCGGGAAGTACGTCGGGTCACCGAGGATGAGCTTGGCCCTGGTCTCGAACTTCATCTCGGGCTCGAAGCCCGACATGGTGGCCTTGATGCCCACAGCCTTGCCGTCCTCGTAGAGGATCTCATCGACGTTGGTGTTGAGCATGTAGGTGCCGCCGTAGACAGCCGACAGGCGGGCAAAGCTCTGAGGGAGCTCGCCCAGGCCGAACTCGGGGTAGAGGTAGGGCGAGCTCTTGTACTCCTTCACACTAAAGCCGTACAGCCGGATGCGCTCGATGGTCTCGAGGGTCTTCGAGGGGTCGTCGATGTATTCATCGTCCGCCGAGTACAGAGCCATACCATGGCCTACGAATTCCCTGGTGTTGGCGTCCAGGCCGAACTTCTCATAGACTTGCGCCATAGTGACCTGGTTGGCCTTCGGGTCCGTGTCGAACTGGAAGCCTATGTGGGCAGAAAGCCTGTCAGCGGTTATGGCCATGCAGAAAACGGGGTCCCCCAAGCTGAGCAGCAGTGACACGGCCCAGTAGATCTCTGTATATCGAAGAAGCTCGTACTGCCACTTACCCTTGTAAGTCTTCGGGTCATCCGCCTTGAAAGCAACAAGCCACTCGAGGAAGCTCTTCGTGTAGCGCTTCTGGTTGAAGCCCAGAAGCGAAGACATGGCGGCCTCGCCGGCAGATGAAGGGACCTTGGCAATGTTGGACTTGCCCTGCTGGACGTAGCTCCCGGCAACCAAGGTGAACTTGACGTAGTCCGGGTACACCTTGGTCTGGACGATGGCCTTGATGAGCTCGCCCGTGGCCATGAGGAACTTGGGGATCAGGTCAATGTTCCAGGCGTGCAGGGGGCCGAACTTGGTCCATGGCTCTGGCCCGGCGTTGGCGACAGGGTACTTCTGGTACAGCTGTAGGAGAGGGCGGAGAGCGTTGTCAGCGACGATATTGCGGAGAGGCTGTGCCGCCGAGAGAAGTGGCGAGTATTGCAGTGGGGGGGTTCCGAATAGTCACTAACAGTCTTGAGGTTCACGGAGGCGGCCTCACTGCAAGATAGTCGTCAGCATATTTGCCCACTGGGTGTAGCTAAAGGAAAGCAGCGGTAGCAACATACCCGCCGTAGTAGGGGTTGCGGTCGAGGTGGAGGACTTTCTTGCCCTGTGCACTCAGAACACTGTGTAGGACAAAGCAAAGCCGTTAGCATTTGATGGATGATTGCCCGGAGTGGCCATAAACGCCGTCCAGGGATGAACAGCTGCGAGTCCGGGAGAGCAGGGTGCGGACTTACCCAGAAAGAATGCATTCGGTCAAGCCTTGAAGGGAAGGATTTCATTGTCAGCGTTAGCACAAGGCAGAGTGCTCCATCGAGCTCCCTCGGGCGATGTCCGATGTCTGCCCTGAAAGCAGGTTGCCGTCGATGCGGGGAAGCGACGGCGGCGAGACGGGGACAAAGAGGCAAAACTCACCGGTGCCCAGCACCAGGACGTCGTATTCCTTGTCGACCTCGTTCATGGCGGCGGCTGTGGTGCTTGGAGTTGCTTGATTGCTAGTCGGGAGTCGAGAAGTGGGAGATGGGCGGCAGACTGAGAGCACAGCTCGTTGCAGTCGATGTTGGGGCAGCAGGGAAGGAAGAGAGATAAAGTGTAGCGGTGGGTTCGGAGTCTGAGACGGGGACCATAAAGTCCGGCAGAGGCCAGGCGGGAGGGTGGGATGGATTGTGCATTGAGAGCAGACCAGAGGCCTAGAGGTACGTCGGTACCTGCCCGGGTACCTAAGGTAGGTAGGTGGGCTGCGGTGTTCCAGAGCACCCCTGCCCGATGCATTAACAAGCTCTCGTCCCCGCTCCATCCATGCTGTGGCTGACATAACCCAGCAACCCCGCCATCTCGGCTGGGAGCTCAATCTGCTTGACCGCCCATGCTCGGAAACTGACTGGCCTTATTTTTCCATGACATGCACATACCGCTCACACCGTCCGCCTGAGTCTCCACACAACCCGAAAATGTCTCCCAATACTCGCCACGGCTTCCCACGGTTTCCCACGGTACCGTACCTGCAGCCAGCCTGGGTGCTCATTAGCCAGCCCGCCCGTTTCTGCCACCTTACCAAGCTCGGATTTGGCTTCACCAAACCCCTGTCAACCCAGCCGTTCGTGTTATCAAACTCCCCGGCCACCAAATTTGTTCCGCTTCGGTACCTCCATGTATGAAGCAGGGACCCCCCCTGGCTTGTTGGGACATGCCCCGCCGCCAAAGAGCCTCACCACGGTGTCCATCCCCTTGGCATCCAGACAACCTGAACCCGCCATATCTGCTGCCTTGCCCAACCATTCGGGTCTGTTCTTGCAAACAAGCAGGTAGGTATTCAGCGTGAGCTTGGCACGAGGAGCAACCATTGCCCTAGGTCCACCGTAGGCTCCGCTCGCCGGCCCGAACCGCCGTTTGAGGGAGAGAACGACGAACATTGAGGCGGTAGATATACAATGTGTGAGTAGGTGGGCAGTAGGCAGTAGGTATCTACATAGACATACACGCTATCAGTGCTACCTCCATCATGCGGTGCAGGCGGTCCGGAGGGGACACACACACTTGCCCCAACCCCACCATCGCGAGACGTCGTGCACAGAGACCATACCCCAGGCCGTTCACTTCGGCCTTCCAGCTCGCCCATCCTTCAAGACCTTGCGATTGGCGCCTCTTCCTTCGTTGCTGAAGGTGGGACGACCGACGGGTCGGCGGCGGCAGCATCTTGTGACGGGGGCTTCTCTGCTGTCTCCGCGCCGGCGGGAGCAGCCTCGCCCTCGACAGGGGCAGTCTCTGCCTCACCGGCAGCCTTCTCCGGGGCAGTGTCTACGAGCTCCTCATCGTAGTGCGATGAGGGTGTGTACATGGGGCCTTTGCCGCTCATGTTGATCTCCGGGTCCTCCTTGGCCAGCTCGACCGCGTCCTCCCAGGCATAATACCTCTCGGTGAGCACGTGCTTGATAGCCTTCATCGTCCGCCGCACCTGTGTCCCCCCGCCCCAAAAAGCAGTCAGTATCAGATCCCAGGCACAGTCCCGTTTCGAGCCTAGCTGGCCGGCTAGCTAGCTAGACAGCAACAGAAAAACCCACCGCCTCATCTCTCGATCCGAGCTCCTGCGCCCCGAAGCCGATATCATGCTTGTCCCGCGCGTGGTTGGCCGTCGCGATGCGGTTCCGTTCCCTGCAGCAGACCCACCAGAGCGCGTGCAGGTCGTCCCAGTTCTTCCCGCGCAGCTCCTGCACCGTCCACGCGCGCCCGTACGCGGCCGCCTCGGCCGGCGTGGGCACCATCTTCTTGTCGAAGAAGAAGCCCCAGAGGCCGTGGCCCGGCTCGTTGTCGGCCTCGGTCATGCGGCCCGCGTTCTTGTCCGGGTTGGGCCGCGGGAGTTCGTCGAACGACACCGAGAGCACCTCGCGCGGCCCGCTGCGGTGGATCGTCGACACGCCCCGGAGCTTGCTGCTGTCGCGCGTCTTGCGCTCCAAGAGCGGGGCCGAGCCCGAGAGGCTGCGCTGCTGCTGTTGATGATGCTGTCGCGGGAGGAGCCAGGGCGCAGGTCGCAGCCTCGTAGGTATTGGGGCCGATTGGCATAATGGCAGGGTGGCGGCGGGCTGAGAGACATGGCAGCGCTGGAGCACGCGGCTCACGGCCGGGCGCACCGTGCCGGGGCTGGCCATTGTGGGGGTGGTGCAGGGCGGGCGGGCCCGATGCTGCCGGTTCCGGGGGGGGTGACTTGCTAGCGAGCCCCTCGTGATATGCGCCGGGCCTTCGTGGGAGGAGGGGCTTGGGGCAGAGGCCTTTGGGCGCCTGGTGTTATGAATCGAATGGCGCTGGTCGTCGTCCTGGCCTTGGTAAATTTTTGGCTTCACTGACAGGGGTCGGTCGGTACCTCTTTCGCGCCCTCAATGACCCACAAATGCGATTTTCTGTGGCTGATGCCTGTTGGATGTGGCACAACTCAGCTTCTTCTCCCCCTTACTTTCAACCCCCCTCGAGACCACCTATAACCCCCAGCGACCGACGTTTTGTCATCTATGTGCGTACATTGGTAGTTGCCGGCATTCGGTTCGTTCTCTAACGCTGCTTGCCGCGAACCAACCACATCAGGGACCCTCAACGCAGGACACGCACAGCAGGCTAACCTCGCCTCAAGCAGCGATCAGGAAGCTTCCCCTTCCAATGTCGCTCTGGAGGTAGGGCCAACACAATGCGACGCCTAGAGAGACATGCGGACTACTGACAGCGCCTTGGCCCGTAGAGCCTATCAAGGCCTATCCTCGAGAGCCCGGCTGGGCGTTGGGCTCGGGCTGCTCGCCTGGGGCACTATTGGCTTGACTTGGGGTGACGAGATCGCCGAGGCCCGCAAGTTTCTCAAATTTTCAGACAAGGACAAGGCTCAGCTGGAAAAGATGGCGCCCAAAATCGTAGTGGTCGACAGCCGGGAGGAGAAGTCATGAAAGCACTCGGGCCAGGAAAACGTGGCACAGACAGGGGACGTATCACGCAAAAAATGGAGAGCATATGTGTGAACTCATGTTGTTTAGAGCAAGGCTATAGGACTACAGCTCGTCGATAGACGTGTCCAAGCAACCGCAAAGCTCCCAGCGACATGATTTGTTAGAAAAACCGGGCTGCGCCATGTCCATGGGCCCCGGGTCGCAGCGGAAGTCAAAAGACGCTAGAATCATACCTCCAAGTATCCATGAACGCGTGACAACCTGTCCTTCATCCGGGGAGGCTCATGCATAGAGGCATTGGTCCCCCCAATCCCAAGAGTGCCCCTCCCCCAATGTTCTAGTAGACGAAAAAGACAGTGGGAAAAGAAGTCTAATGCAGGCCCAGTCGGATGTCTATCGTCGCATAGGTACCAAGCCGCGAAATGCAAATCAAAGACACCTCCCGGTCGACCAGTCTGATGCAGCAAATGGGAATCACACTTTTGGGGGGGTTTGAGAAATCAAGACAGACGAGAATGGAAGGCAAAAAAAGGACATCATTATACCGCCACCCCCCCTCCCCCGACCGTTGAATTTTAGTGGAATGCGCATAGGAAGGAGAACGAAAGAGGGAAAGAAAAATAATCGCGAACGTTAACGACATTTGATGAGCAATGGGTAATGGGGACTAAAAACGAAAGCCAAGTGAATG